ATATTTAAAAGACCATCAACAACTGCAGTCTGTACAAAACAGCATTTTTTATTATGAAATTTTCAAATGAAATTAACAGAAACATCATCATCATCATCATCGTTATTCGAACCAACACTTTGTGTGCCATTATATCCTCGGCATTAGTAGGGTCTTTATTATTTATAATCGAGCATTGAATTGTGAATAAACAAATTGTTATAAACAAAAAACCGAAATCCTATTAAAATTGTATGAAATATGGCATGGAATACGGAATTGCTTTGAAATTTTGTGGTGCTATAGCAACACAAATGCCATGGAAGTACACATCTGGACATGTTTGGAACATTATTTTGAATAAGAAAATTTTTGTGTAGTTTTAAATATCAGATAATATCAAAAAATTTGACAGTGCAAAGGCAGCTGTCAGAAATGTCATAATGCACACAAAAGAACCTCAAGGAATAAAATATGGAGAAGAAACACAAATCCAAACATGTGGATCAATGCAGCAGTAATATATAATTGGCACTTGTTGTTGTTGTGGTTTGGGGTGTGTGTGTGGGGGCGAAACTGACATTTATGAAATATAAACATCTTGTTCACACTAGCTTAAATTGATTTAGCAGATGTATATTTGTTTTCAACAATTTCATAATTGATATGTAAAGTAATATTGCCAAGTTTAATGAGTCTTTCACTGGATGATTGAAGGTCTTAAATTATTATTATTTTCTTAACATATTTTCATATCTACTTTTTTATATGTGTGTGTTCGTTTTTCTCATTGCACAACAAAATTGCTGATCTTTTGCTTTTTGTATTAATTTAAAAGTTCTTTTTTTATTTTACTTTTCTGCTTAACTCCACAAAATTAATTTTAACTATAATACCATCCAATTTTCCAAGGATTCTGCATATTTGCGGCTAACTGCGAATTCACCAAACCAACAAAAAAAGTGACCTGGCTTTAATTCTCTTATCACTTTAATAAGTTTGGTCGTACGCAATCCTTGCAGGAAATAACATTGCCTTTTGGCTAAAGTAAATTTTAATAATCCTTCTGGCAACGAATCAGCCAGCCGCGGAGTCAAACAGACATACATGTGGCATATGAGGAGGGAATTAAAGTATTTATAGGGATGTCAATTGTAAACAAAAATGGATGTTCTTATTTAAAAATGGTTTAAGTAGCTAGTAATGTTTTAAGTTTAATTATGAATTTTCTATTTAATTTATTCTAAAATTATGCTACTTTTGGGAATTAAACATATGATCATGCCATCAGCTGTTTTGTGTAGAATCGGCTAATCGCACAAGATTCAACCGAAAGAAAGCAGAGTTTCTAGATAATATAAGAAATACAATCGGTGCTCTTTTCTATATAACTTTTAAAACCTAATAGGAATATCAGGCTATCAATCAGTACCTCTTCTCTCAAAATTTACCCGAATATTCCAATTTCACAAGTCTACCAACTTTTTTGTTCGCAGTAAACAAACACATACTACTATTTGCAAAGCACCACCGCCGTTTATCCATCCATGCATCTATCCAAACATTAAAACTTTTGAAAAATAATTTCATTTTACTGGCAAGCAGGCAATGGAAAAAACTCACTGCAACCCTGGCCTGAAAGGACGACATGGGCGTTTTTAAACTGAGAAAGGCAAACAGCTTGCCATAAAGATACAGCAAAAATCATACACGTGAATGAAAAAAATTGTGTGTAAATAATGTGTTAATGTGCCGGCCATGACATATGCCATAGTCCTTACTATGTATATCACATTTACTGGACATTCACTTAGATTCACGCACGCTGATGAGTCGTTCATCATGAACGCCCTTTACACACTCTTCTCGCATCTGAGCAGGGCACACGCCAAGTTATGTGATTCCATTCGGCATTGTAGTTCTCCTGGCCATAAAGATGAAAATGCAATTTTAACGTGGTCAATGTGCAAAGTATTTTTTTAATTATATCAACAAATAATGGTTGTTGGTGGGTAAAAATAACAACAACAAAGAAGAGAAAACGACCACTAGGAAAAATTGAGGTTATGAAGAGGTGTGATCAGTTTTGGTAATAATTATGATTGAATGATATATCATAAATTTAGAGTCGGGATCACCCTTTTAGACTCTAAAGGACTGTTTTTGCAATAAAAATAAGTAGTAATGGTTTCATATATCAGCTGATCGATGTAAAATCGACCATCGTCCAAATTTCCCTTTGATTAATATGACTTGATTTAAATATCCTACCATTATTATCCTTCCCTCATATATTTTTTAAGTAAATCCATTTTCTCCAACGGATTAAACAGTTAAAATACGCACGTTACAATCGACCAAAAAAACAACAACAACACGCGGGGTGCCAATGCAAGCATTTGGTTAAGGTATTTATTCCAGCCATTTTTTGTTTCTTTACCATTGCAATGTAGCAAAGTTTTGACGAGTGGTCAGATTAATTTACATACATACGACATACACATGTGAATGTATATAATATCTTTTGCAACATTTTACCAATCAACTGAATCCATTTTAATGGCAAGGCTAGCATCTGATGGACTTTGGACAGTATGCAATGAATGGAATATATTAATCATGACAGCGGGCAAAAGATAGTGAATGCATTGGGAGATGTTTTTTCATTACTTTTTTTTTGGTTACACTACAAAGAGCATATCCTTATAGATGATGTGTGATTACATTTGTTTGTAATTTAAGATTACAAATTGATGATGGTTTTTATTTTGTAGTGATAATGCTTGTATGGAGACAGATTGTGGTTGCATTGTACAGATATGTATTTCGTAAAAAAACTCGAAAGCTATTTTTCATTATTTAATATAAAAAGTTTACTCAGATGAAATACTTAAATATGTTTTCGGAATATTATCGCGTTCTTGAGCTCTTTAAAAATCGTAATTTAATAAAAAATAGTTTGAAATGTAGTAAATTTGATGTGTGGGCAAGAGGTTTAAACTTTGTCTTCTATAAGCTGTTAGATGTAATAACGACCATCAATATTAAATACAAAGATTCTATGAACAACAACAACAAAACCTACTATGAGAAATGTATCATAGATGGTTAACCTTTGTTATGGTCGTTACTACACAGAGCGCCCGTTCAAATAACAAGGCATTCAAATGGACTGATTAACCTACAAGATGTTTTTGCTTAAAATTTAATTCAAATGGAATTTTTGTGTTAGTTTTTTATTTTCAAATAGCTCCCATACACTTCGTTCTTGCTTAACACTGCCTATATATTCCCTTTCAATTAAACAAGACTTAAGTTTATTATTCAACTTTTTGTTTCCTTTTTCTGTTTCTTCTTTTCCTTTTTTACATTTTCCCCACTAATTGTATGAGGCCAAGCAAATATGTTCGTACATCTTGTTGTCATCAACATTTCTGAGAAGGACACATGCCAATATAAGTCCACAGGATATATTATTTTTTTCTTCCACCGCCCATCTTTTAAACGAATGGAGGGATTTTGGTGAATTTCTTAATTATTGTTGGTTGATGTGACAATCGAATGCAACTGTGTTGCACTGGACATGTGAATTTTCTTCTGCTGATTCTTCTTCTTCCTCCGTTTTTTTATCATTTTAATGGGGAAATGGGATTAAACACAATTTGCATGATTAACAAGGCGTATGTGGAAGGACGGATGGATGCTATTACACAATAAGCTTTCTTCCTTTTCTTAATGGTCATATGCCATACGTCATGTGGCTGTGGTGTAATGATGTAAACTCGGCTGTTGTTTGTCCATAATTATAAGGATATTTTAATCTGATATTGGTAAAACCAGTTAAGAGAACTAATTAAGGGCTTTTGTTCACACACACACACTCACGCGCAAATGTAATTTGTATTTTTCATATATCCAACTTTATGCTGGAGTGGGTTGCTCTTGGTGTGGATAAACTTTTGTCCATAATATTATTTTAGTTGTGAAATAACAACTGTAACATTTCGTTACTATTATTTGCCTGAAATAGAAGTTTGTGTCTGCTGCTGCTGTTGTGGTGTAGCAGCCAAAAATTATGTTCACAAATTCACAATTTAATTAAAAACATTAAATAATGTTATTTGGGAAAACTTTGACTTTTGTGTTTTCAAAATAGCCTTCTCCCCCGGTCACACAAACAGTTGCCATTTCAGAATTTGCACTAAAACTTGACTCTGTGACCTTTTGTCACAAATAACCCAGTTTGGCTGTTTGGCCGCCAAAAAAGGACTTTTGGTCATAAAATACACTCGACAACAATGTCATAAGAATTTTTTTGTTTAAAAAAAAAATAACATCAACAACAAATTACCAAACAATTTTCTTCCTCAAATGCCATGTGTCCACCCCCCTAGCCACAATGGAAATCCTTTTTTTCGGTTGGATAGTGAGAGACCATAAACAAGCTAAGTAAGGAGTTTGGTTGACAAGTTAAATTAAAGTTAACATGGCATGACATTCAAAGGAAAATATTTTCAAAGTTTCAGTTTTGTGAGTGTGTATTCACAGGAAACTCATCATCATTATTATTAGTTGCAATTGTTGTTGTTGTTTGAAAAAAAATTGGAAAACTTGTTATGCTCTACTCTGTAGTCAAAATCTACTTTTGGCCGTTGCCGTTTAAATGACCAGAAACTGGCACTTTTCGAGTGTTCTTGAATTGGTAATGTGTCCTGGTTTGTTTTGAAAACTTCATTTTACCAATGACATCCTTGGTTGTTTACAAAGTTTCAAGTGGTGTTCTTGTGTTTTTTATTCAGCAAAATAAAGTCGCTAACAAATGGTGAAATGCTCACCAACTGTGAAATAAATTTCCAATGCAAGACAGACAATTAAATTGAAGTGCAATATGTTTTGAAAGAAGTGTTGCATGTTTCCATGTCATTAAATTTAGAATTGTAATGGATTGACAAGATTTTAAATAGTATTTAAAACTTTAAAAAACAACTTATTTTATTTTAATTTTTTTATTCTAATTCTAGCATCCGCTGCCGATGGACCCAAATTGGAAATATTCCCCTCACAAAAGGTGCAAAGAAAAGCTGTCGGTCAGGCTATGATCCTCACATGTCGTCCCAATGTGCCTTCACCTAATTTAGTATCCGATCTAACATGGAAGGATAATATGAATAATACAATATTGCCCAAACCGTAAGTAGAAATTTCAAAATTTCACATTAAACACTACAAAAAAAAATTAAAACACCAAAAATATATATTGTCCTTGTAAACCTGGCAAAAGTGATTGTGTGACAAAAATATCTTTCCCCTAAAAAATAAATGTACCCTTTTACTAAATATTGTAAAAAACCACACAAAAAAACCTACAAATCTCCAAGTAACTAAAACCTGTATTATATTATATAATTTGCAATAATATATCTTTTGGAGTAGAAATGAAGACGTGCAGAATTTGAAATATTTTATGAAAATTGCTAAATATTACACAATTTTCCTATAGTTAATTTTTTAAGACCGTTTGATTCGAAATTCTATTCTTTCGTTAATTTAATGTGTGGCCAGATAGCTTTAATAATTTGTGGAGTTGCTATAATGGTATTGTAATCAACCGGGTATTATATTAACTGTTATTTGTATTAGTATAGGTAAAGTAACGGAATTCCTTAACATGAGTTCTTAATGTGTTAGGTACAAAACAGTTGATTAATGATAGGGTTCTCTAGGTGCAAAACAGCAAATAGACAATGTAGGGGGTTTAAAGATACAAAAATGATAATCAACACTTCTTCATAAGAGAAGTAATTATTTAACATGGAACAGAGATGAAAGTGAACACATTTTCTCATTTCTCTAATGTCTTACTCAGATACTTGCCGATAAAGTTGTATCTGTGGAATTTTAAATTGTTTGTTAAATTTTTAATTCAAATTGTATTAAACTTTTTATGCTACAAGTAAACTATATTTTTTCTTTGCAAATTGTTATTATAAAAAATTACATTTTGTTATTATTTGCTATTATATTTTTATATATTATTTGTCTTTTTCTTCTTCTATTTTTTTCTATATTTTACAGTATTGTAAAACAAATGTCAAACATGTAAGATTTAGTTTCATTGTTTTGCGTTATTTTTTGAAAGAGTTAAAGCATTTTATAAGCAGCAAATATTAAGGGCAAGGCACAGTCAGAATGTGTGAAAAAAAATTAATTTAATAGCATTGCTTATCAATCAAGACGCAACACTTTGACTGTGCCTTATCCTTCTGTCAATCGCTAGCAATAAAAATATTACTAAAAATAAGGCTTTTAAAATGCGTTTATATAAAGCTTCAAGTTTACTTTAATTATTAAAATATCTCAAAATTTCTATGTATATTTAAAAAAAATATTTCAAAAATACAGGATTATAAAGCAAATACGTGACAAGTAAGAATAAATTAGGTATAGCCCAAAGACATAATTATTACTTTTTTATAAATTTTAATTGTTTATATATTTCTAAAATTAGACTTAGGAAGGTTTTTTTGCCTATATATCTTACCACACACCTTTTACTTGGCATCCTTTTTTCTTTTTTAAAATTACTTAACACACATTTATGCTATATTTTATTTCCTTTATTGCTGCCTTTTCTATTGTTCTTGTTCTACTACGTTTTTTTATTTATTCAAACTATTCTTTATTATTTTGTACAAATTTAATTCTAATTTTCTTTCTTTATTTATCAAAACAAAAACAAACAAAAAACACACGTCTTTCTTAGGCACCAAATTTATCAACCAGTGTATGATTCCAAAGGACATAGAATACGTCAGAAGTAAGTCCGAAAAAGAGGGATAATTTGCTAATGCTAAAGAAAAAAACAATTGAAGAAATCTACCATATACCTAATGACCATTTGCTTCCCTATCATTTTTTATATAAAATAATATAAAACCCCTTTAGCTTAGAAGGAGAACTGCTAACACAGAAAAAAGTTTGCTTTTGGTTTGATAACTCATTTTTTGTGAAGCAAATAACCCGCAATCTCTTGAGAATAGAAAACGTAACACACAAAATTTTACCAGATTGATTTTTTGTTAAATTAGTTAAATAATAATAATGAAGAGAGAGTTTTTTGTTTGACCCTTAATCCTTAACTTTTAAACAGAATCCTGCACGTTCTTGTTTTTTATTAATATAATCATTGTAGTAAAACTATGTAATGATTTTATTCTATTTTCAAATAATTTTTTTATTTCTATGTTTGTTTTTGTTGTAATTTTGTGTGTATGTTTTTTCTGTTATTTTCAATTATTTTGTTTCATATCATTTGATCGTTACATGTCCTCGTTCGAACATACATTGGTATCATAAAACAAATCTACTAACAGCATTAATCATTGAAAGACATTCATATCTGGTGTATACATTTAGGCGTTTTCAAGAAGTCATAATCACTATATACAAAAATATTTAACTACATATAAATGCATCCACATGTCAAACAAACAAAGTCATAGAAATTTTAGAGGTTAATACAAATTATATGTGTGGCCAGATACCTTTAATAAATTGTTTAGTTGCAGCAATGTCGTTTGTACCGTTATGTTAAACTATGATTTTATTTTATTGTATAAACATCTGTTAAGACTAAACAGTTGTTTAATGATAGGGATCTATAGGAACAAAAGTAGGATTTTAAATATTTAAATTCCTATAAATAAATGATAAATAACATAATATATTTTTCAGAATTAAATTATAAATAATAGATTAATATGAAATAAATTAATATAATACAACCAGTAAGCCAATATTTTAATCGGACGTAGTTGACGATGATTTGGAATTTTGAAGTCCTCTAATAATAATACCCTCCCTAAAAAGTACACAGGCGGGCTACAAATTCCCCCTTAAATGTGACAAATTTCTGTTATGTTTATTTAACAACCATTCAATTACCCACCAACACATTGTCAAACACCTCGTGGATTTTTAATCTGGCATAAAATCAGCTATTTTGTCCAACTGTAATTGAATTATGTTGTCATTTTCAAACATCATTTGCAGTGGAATTTATTGGAATTCAAATGAATTTTCTCTGAGCTCATTGACAACGGTGGTGGAATGATTTAATACGATTTCAATTTTGCCAATACTACATAGCTCCAAAATCGATGATCCCACAAAGTGTACTTGTATGTGTGTGTTTGGTCTTTGTTGCTTTTGTGCGATTTGACAAATACCAAAATTTGATTTAATTTATATGATAATTTGTAAATGCGTTGTCCATCATTTGTGGGAGGAAATGCCGTTGTCACGTTATAGCATTATATGCTAATTTTCAAGCATAACTCCCTCCCACACCTCCTTAAAATATGCTATGCAAATTATTTAAATTGAAAAATTAGTTGAACTTATGGTTGGTCTGTGCTTTGTCAACAGATGATTTGTACACCATGGAATTGAGCCTAATAATATGCAACATATTTGTTGAAATACATTTAAGGGCCATTTTTCAAATATTGATACAGTTTAGAATTTGATTTTTTTATTCTAGTCTTTATATAGTCGGAGTGTTCTATAATTTATTTCATATACATTTTATGTAAATTAAAAAGAGAATATTACATATGTGTATAGCACAATAATGGGAATTAAGTTTTTACATGAATAATTTGGAAGTTTCTTGAGGCCAGCATTTAAATTTTGCATATTAATTAAATATAATTTGTTGGTCCACAATTTCTTTTTCCCAACTCAAATGCAAATTTAATTTTTACCATTTGTGTGATGCCTTTTTATTGGTCTTTCACAATTTGCGTAAATTAAACTACTTTCATCACAGAAAAAAAAACTAAAACCTCTCAACTCCCTAAAGTATGCTCTATAATTATAACTCTATTTTGTGGTGGAACCTAACAAACGAACTTTAACAGTCGTTTTGCGTGTTTTATTCATACACGCACGTTCACACTCACACACGCACACATACACACCATTCAGGGGGAAAACACATAGGCAGGCTTCCATTGAATACCAATACCTAAAAGTATACTACAATGTTGACCACACTTGTTGGCATATTCAAACATTACAAGCTTTGATTTAGTTTCGAGAGCATTTGAATATTGTTTGTGCGTCTGTGTATTTCTGGACTGCAACTTCACAGCTGTGTTATGCAAATTGCATTGCATAATACAACAGTTTATTGCATTCGTCATAGTTGTTCTTTCTTCGTAATTTTTTCTAATTGCAATGTTTTGCATAAAATTGCAGAGAGAGAGAGGAAAAAACAAACGCTCTTTTTGAAATATAGGTTGGTTAGGCACAAATAATTGTGTGAATAATCCTTTTGAAATTTATTCAATAATGATGCTACATAATAATTTTGTTTGTAAACTACAACACAAAAGGAGGACAGACGCACTTTGAAATCAGAATTGACCCATTTTCTAACAAAAAATATCAGCTGTTTGAAAATTTTATTGAATATGTAATACTTTTCAATAAATATAAATATTATTCTTTGATGGGATAATATTTTAAAAAAATCTGTTGTTTAAAAAAGGATGGCAAATTGAAATAGGTTTTTAGTATATTGCATAATTTTAGGATCTCCACATCTAAGTAAAATTCTATAATATTAACCTAACTTTTTGACTCTCAAACCCAAACAACCAGTCAACAGTAATTAATGTTTACCCCCTTAATAACAGGTGTCTTTAATTCAACGCCTTAAAGTATACATGTGTTTTAAGAACATGAATCTCATCAATTATTTGTACAAATATTTACATAAATCTTCATTTCAATGTACATAATTACAGATAATAATAACGAATGATGAGCATAGATGTGAAAATAACCTGAACATAAATATTCTACATAAATTTATGTCAAAGAATAAAACACAAATACCCACACACATACATACGACTATTAATTACTCACCAATAAATACAAACAAAAGAAAACATGCCATGGGCTACGTTTTGTGGGCATTTAAATCAAAATCAAACAAATCTCTGTTTAATAATTAACTACATGTTCTATTTTAATGACAACAACTAGGAATTTGTATCATAAACAAAATTTATTTAAGAAATTACAATGTTGTTTATCGTATAACAGATGATTAAAGTTTTAAATAACGGAAATGATGCAGATAAGCTATTTATCATGAATTGAAATATTTAAAAGAGCCTGGAGATATGCTACATTTTGTGCGTAGTGATTAATTTAAAGTATAGAAATTAAGATAGGGTGCATACTTTTTGGCTGTAGATATTTAAATGCATAATTCAAGGTATAGCCGCAAGAAAAACGTCGTCTTATTATGCATCACAACATATTGAAAATGTAATAGTTTTAGGTTCTCATAAAAACTTATAGCTTTTATATTTCACATACTAAAAATTCCATTTTAGTATTCAAAATACATATTTCATTAGGCGCAATTAAAAACAAGACCAGACTTTTATACAACTCCCTAGAACATATTTTACTAAAACCTTCCCGAACGAAAAGAAACGCTAAACTCTAAAACCCCTCCACCACCACACACAGCCATTTGCACTCATGTGTTTGGTGGATTTACTAGTGACTTTAAAATCATTTTGCTCGTCTCATATTTCCCTGCCATTTTTTGCTTTGAACTTGCTGGCAAACTAAAGTCATGAATGCAGCAACTAACCCAAGATATACATACATACCAACATATACATCTAGAGGAGTACAACGAAAAGATAGAGTCCTTTCACCAACACCACCACACTTCTACTACAACTAAAAACCATTTCCACCATAATTACAAAACTTACAAACGAATTTCTATGTACAAATACTAATTAAAATTTCTCTTATTTTTCACCTTTTTTCTCGTTTGTTTTTCAATTGCTGATGCCGTGGCGGAAAACAATTTCCCATCACCTCTTTTTTTCCTGCGATTCTACAGTACGGGACGCCAGCCACCGATGTTCACGGAATATATGGCCGGTACAGATAGTTTGGCGCTTATTATCAACCACCTTAGCGTTGAAATGGAGGGCAAATATTATTGCACAGCATCCTATGCTACCAATGAAATTCTGGAGACCAGTGTTACGGTTAAAACTTATGGTAAGTTAACAAGAAACCACCACAACAACAACAGAAAACAAAAACGCCAATGCAAAGTAATGCGTTTTTGTTGTTTGTTTGGCCACATTCTAATTGAAATTTATTTGAAACACAGCTATATAAAAATTGGCTAGAGGATGTTATCAGAATTTATATTTGTTTGGAAAACTAATTGCAAGGAAGTATTTCTGGTTCTTCTTGACTACATCTTATAGGGAATTGTAAAAATATATTAGTTTTTTCTTAAGCATACTTTTAGGAGGATAACAATAATCTCTGTTAAAAATGGGTGGGGATACTTTTAAGGTAATTGAAACAGGTTTTGTGTGTATGTGTGTGCATAAATATTCCTTAAAGAAATCCTTAGTCATTACTTAAATTGTATAAAAGAAACCCCTAGATTATCATAGCATACTTTTAGGAGATGTATGCAATGCAATTTATTTTGTATTCTAAAGGGCGATCAATTAAATAAATAAAAAAAAAAATTAAAAAAAGGCGTAAATTAACATTCTACATTTTAGGGGATATTTAAACAACAAATTTTTATTACTGAAATAATTTGAGGCAGACTGAATAAAATTAATAAAAAAATAAAGACATTTTAAGGAAATTTTCTTCTAAAAATAAACAATTAAAAATATTTTCTAGTGAATGGATATAATTTCTCATTAAATTCTTTCCATTATGAATCTTTATTTTAAATCTTCTTGAAAAATCTCCTTTATCCTAATTTTAAAATTTCCATTAATTGAAGAGGTTATGCGTGTGTATGCGTGATAAACTTTTATATTCTTTGGGATCTATACACCAACAGCGTAGACATTTTGCATATAATTTTATTATCTTCAATCTAGTTTGTGTTGTTTCAGTTAGTTGTGAGAGAGAAGTTTTAGAACAACAACAGCAACAACTACGTCTACTGCAATCATAATCGTTAACCAAAATGTATACATGAACTTCATCTTCAAACTTATGCCTAACTGTATGCCATACAATAATATTATTTTGTTGTTGTTGAGGATACTTTCGAAAAGGTTATATAAAAGTCAACAATTGTTATGCTTTTCACATACAGAACAGTAGTTGGAGAAGAATATAAAGATAATAATAGTATGGAGTTTATTGTTTTTGTGGCTTTCACCAGGTGTATGGTGGGGAAAGTTTTCTCCTTCGTGAATTATGAGCCAATCCATTTGAATGCTTCTATTTAATTAGGCATAAAAGAAGAGTGGAGTTGTTTTTTTCAAATCCCTAAAAATATACATCAAAATAAAATGTATTATTCCTTAGAAACGATTATCTTACAATGGCATCCTTTATCATTGCAAAGGAGTTGATTTTCTTAATTAAAATTCTCTATATAGTCATTTATTTATGAATTACAAACAATATTATTATTTTCGGTAAAGTGCTACTAAGTTACTGTAAATATTAAAATAAAAATTAAATCAAACAATTTTGTAACATCCAACTAAATAATAATAGATTTCAAATTCTTGTCATAATTGCAATAATGTCCCTTTACTATAACAATTATTGCCTAAAAGTATGCTTTAAATTTGTTTCTATTGATTTCCGGATAAATATTAAATGATTACACAAATCTCAATAGTTTTACTAATGATGCTACACACAATGATTGCTTTGTTATTGATATTTACAAATATTTTAAGCTGATTTATATGCTTCTCTTTCAGTATAATATAAAGAAGTGAAGAAGAGGAGAATGAGGAAAGTAAAGAAGACATTTTTATGGCGAAAAGTGTGTAGTAAAGCTATCTTAGATATTTCAGGAAAACAACAACATATACACATGACCTTTTTACCGGAAATGTATACAATAATAAATATGTGTATATCGATATTTCCGTTTCTCAAAAGTATGTGTGTGCGTGTGAGTAGAAAATTGTTCTCTTATTCCCACACTGGTTAAGTTATTTAATAATCGTCTCAAGTTGTTCAAGTGTAATGTAATTTTTACAAATATACCAATGTACACACACACACATATATTCTATAAGTATAACTTCCACCAAGTGTATAAGAACAATGTGTAAGTCCTCAATATTACTTATGGGTGTAATTGTAATTTAAAGAGCATACTTTTGGGCAGTATTATTCAAGTGTAATAATTGATAAATATTTATACAGTTTTTTTGTAAGGCATGTTGTTCACAAAGGATAAATGATTTGTAAAGGAGAATAATATCAAGTGGAATTTTAGGGATCACTAGGTTGATTTATGGACCATGATCGCTTATTATATATTTCTATTTATCATCAATCTATATAAAATTGTATTCCATTATATTGCTCTTTAGCATTCACTGAAGTGAAAACTTAACGAAACTTCTTATTATATATTTTTTACGAATCTTTTGAATTGAAATAATACGTAACAACAAATTCCCGGAGGAAATGCATTAGCAATTGTCATGACAATTGTCAATTGAGGACAATAAGAAATAATCTAAAGTAAACACACACAAGATGAAACAAATAGGAAACTAAATATTTCTTTTCTTCTTTCAACCAAAATATATCCTACTTTTTTATTTATGGGTCACCAAAAAAAAAACAAGAAAAACAAACTTCAAGATCTCTGCTTGAAATTATCTTTATACACACACAAATAAACAACAGGCCTTCAATATTTTCGAAATAGAAATAACTTCATGGAAGTATGCCATCCATGGAAACAGGAAATCTTTACAAACTCGTTGGCAGTGAACAAAAAAATCTCAGATCACATACCGAATACATGTTTGGGACACACACATGTTCCACATGACATCACGTTCCTAATGTGGATTGGCACAGGAAAGCCCACAGAAAAAAACACGATGGAAGACAAACTAGCGAAACAAAAAACCAGAGACACCATTTAAGTTCCGGCTTGTAAACAGCAAGGATACACTAGATCCCTGCAACAACAATAACATAATCACTCAAAAGCAAAGCAGCAACTAATCACAAGTGGGTTTTTTAGCAGAAACTACAAAGCATGAGGGGAAAGGGCCAATGAGTATAAACTATAAAATACGATCTTCCTCCCCCTCTCTTTGGGGAATCCTGATTCCAATTCGCCTTGTATTTGTAAAAAAGTAACTTTGCAAATACTAACACACACACAGCTACGCGCAAAAACACTTGAAAGCAAAAGGATGTGATTTACACAAAGCTCTGGCAAATGCACTTGTGCTCGTATACTTTGAAAACAAAAAACACGACAGGGAAAGGAGTAACAAAACAGGAAGCAAATAACCCTAGTTCCACACACACAAAACATATGGAATTATGTGAGAATTTCAGTTTGAAACTGGTTATATAGTTTGGAGTAGGTCATGTTTACATATTTGTTTGTGGGTTGGAATGTTTTAATATAGGGATGTCGGTTTGAAATATTGCCGCTTTCGGGGGAACTTTTTCCATTTGGACGATTTAACACAAAGTTGAAAAAATCATTTTTTATGACTAATCAAGAAAATTGTCAATCCTTATAACTAGTTTTAGACTTTGGTTTTAGTTTCATAAATACCCATAGAAATACTGAACATTTTTCAATTGACAACACTGATAGAATATAACGTTCAATTCGTATTCCACCTTGGCTATAGTTTTCTACTCTTTTTGGTTCTTCTTTTATTTTGACATTTCCGCATACTTTTATCCCTTCCGCTTGTTCCACATTTCCTAGTCTATCCATAGTTATTATAATGTTTTCCGCCTGTTCATCGCCTTGTCCCGGCGTCTTTTTCAATAAAAACGTAATCAGTTGACTGCAAAACTCCAAAACTAAACTAAAGCCAAAGTTATTGAAAAAGTTTTTCTTTAAAAGCTTCCACCAATGGGCATGCTTCGTTTTGTTTTTTATTCACTTGCCAAGTAGATTGTTTGCTATCAAAAAATCGAAATTAAATTCAAAATTATAATGTTGATGATTTAGTTTTGCTATTTTAGCTGAAGAGAAGGGATATTTTACCAATAAGGACAGGAGGAAGGATAAACTTTGTTAAAGGCAATATGTGCTCAGTTTCAATAAAAGTTTATTCTTCTTTTTTATCTAAACAACATATTTTCATATTAATCTTTGGCAAATGGGATACGATGATAGAAAATATTAAATAGATTTTTGGAAAAAAAATAAGTCTTTGATGAAATTTGCAATATAATATTAAAAACAAAGGAGAGAAAAAAATAAATAATTTTACAGTTATTGCCTACATTTAGGGTTGTAATGAATCGTTCGAAATTGCCCCACTTTTAGGCAAGCAACATTTTAATTTATTATAATTTTTTCTTTGTTTATTTTCAAATTAGTTTCTTTAGTCGTACACAGTAAACCATATATTTTGCTAATATTACCCACATGTAAAATATTGAAACTCTTGTGGATTCTGTGTAACCACAACATTGCATAAAAACTGTCTAGCAAAGAATAACACCAAGAAACCTCGAAAAATAAAACTTAAAACAACTTTGTTTATGAGAGGTGGCGGGTTCGGTTCGTTTACCATAAAACAAAATCATTCTCAACACTTTTGTTTCCACTCGTCTGTTGTCAGTTTGGTATCCTCTCCGACTGTCTGGCTGGGGATCCGTAAAGACCAAACAGTGATTGTTGTAGTGGCTCCAAACCCACACACGCACGTTCACCAAATCTAATAGACGCCAGTCACGTACATATGGTACGTCTGCCTTTCGCATACACGCACTTCCACTTCACAGGGCATAACATGAAAAGCTATATATTCCAAATGTCAGCAAATGCACTTTGAAGATCCTCCGAGTTCTTGGTTATCCTTTGGATGAAGCAGCAGCAATGTTAAGTGAAATGATGTTAGTTCTAGCAATTTACAACAAAAGTTGATAGTTATTTTTTACTATAATAAAGAAATAGGGACAAACAGGAACACAATGTGGTATATCTTTGTATAGCTGTGTATGCCATTTTAAATAAGCAATTTATTTCCTTTTTTATTTATCATCCATGGCTAATCAAGTTATATTCATTTCTATCTCCCCCCTTTATTTGCAGTTGGCATTACATGGACAAATGCACCGGAAAATCAAAACCCCATTTTGGGTGAAGATTATGTGGTCAGATGTGAAGTTAAGGCAGATCCCACTCCCACAATTGATTGGTTAAGAGATGGAGATCCAGTAAGTATTGCAATGACCCCATTTCTCCTTGCTTTGCCTTCGTACAAAATACTCAATCGTATTACCTCATTTCTAGATCCGCACCAGTGAAAAATATGTCGTCGAAACCAATGGCCTGTTAATTCGCAACGTCCAAGAATCTGATGACGGTATCTATACCTGTCGTGCAGCCGTCTTGGAAACTGGCGAATTGGTCGAACGTACGATACGCGTTGAAGTCTATAGCCGGCCAGTTATTACCTATCTCCCTGACACCTTGGAAGCCACCGAAGGCAAGCCCTTCTCCGCCAATTGCACAGCCACCGGTAAGCCAGTACCAGAAATCTCCTGGATTAAAGATTCCACCCATCAAAATGTGGCCGCCGCCGACCGTTTCCAAGTGAATCCTTTGACTGGTGTCTTGAATATTAACTCAGTAACTCAGGATGACTACGGCACGTACACATGTCTAGCCAAGAATGATGCTGGCATGGTGGACAAGAAGACCAAGTTGAATGTCTTGATCACTCCCTCCATTCACTATTTGTACAATGTTACCGGCGATAGCGGCAAAGAGATTGCCCTTACATGCAGATCCAAAGGTCGTCCTGCCCCTGAAATCACATTCCGTCGTTGGGGTTCTGATGATGAATATGCTGCCGGCACCCAAGAAGAAGATCCCCGTGTTATCCTAGAACAACATTTCGATGAAGAGAAAGGCGAAAGCTCCGGAACCCTTAGAATTTCAGGTGCCCAGCGCAGTGATGACGGTCTCTATCAGTGTTTGGCCCGTAATACCGGAGGCACTGCCTATGCCACTGGTCACATTACCGTTCAATTCCCTCCAGATTTCTCACACATGAAAGATTTGCCACCCGTATTCAGCTGGGAAGAACGCAAAGTCAATCTCACCTGCTTGGCCATGAGTATACCAAATGCTACCATTGAATGGCGCTGGAATGGTAAACCTCTCAAGGACATTAACGACAAGAACTTGGAAATTATTGGAACTGGTCCACGCAGTGATTTGATTGTCCACCCCGTTGCTCGCCAGTATTACTCTGTCTACAAATGTGTAGCCACAAATATTCTTGGTACCAGTGAAATCGATATTCAATTGAAAGAGGCCCGTGTACCCGAACCCGTACCCGCAGCCCAACCTAAACAGTTGACGGCTACCAGCATTACCTTCGATATACGCAGTCCTCCCGTAGAATTTGGCATGCCCATTACGGCGTTTACAGTGCAATACAAGGAGGCCACAAATCCCGATTGGGCAACGGCCATGAATCGCAGTTGGTCACCCGACTCGCCATACATTGTTGAAGGTCTCAAGCCTCAGACTATGTATCATTTCCGTTTTGCGGCACGTAATCAGGTCGGTTTGGGTATGTGGGGTGTTAACACACAACAATCGACACCCAAACGTTCGGCACCCGAAGAACCCAAGCCATTGCACTCGCCTGTGCAAAACGACATTGAAGAACCCGTTGTTGTTTCACCTTACTCGGATCACTTTGAATTGAGATGGAGTGTGCCAGCCGATAATGGTGAACCTATTGATTTCTATCAAGTCAAATACTGTCCGGTAAGTTTCGAGTCTACTGAGAATCTGGTTAATCGTTTACTAACTTTTTTCCGTTATTCATGTAATTTCAGGGTGTAAAAATGGCCGGAACTTGGCATGAATTGGAAAATCAATGCCAATCTGTTGAAGTAGCCGACAGTACCTCCTATGAAATGAGCCGTTTGGCTGGCAACACCTACTATCGCATTGAATTGCGGGCACACAATATCATCGGTTTCTCATCGCCGGCATCAGTCATCATGAAAACGACAAGAGGTGAGTCCGATCATGCTAATAATAATTTGGGAACATTTTTGTATACGGCCGGTTTGAATTCGGCCGCTGCCCCATCAACACATAAAACATTATTCACACGAACATCGACAACATCTACAACCAAAACAGCAGCTATTATCACCACAAGTACAGTCATGGCAATTGCTACAACAACAACATGCCTAACACTTTTAAGCATTTTAGCCACAAACTTAGCTTAAAAAGCAAAATTCGATGTTTTCAATTAAAGAAAAAAAGACAAAAGAAACTGATTTTAAAATTATTATATATGCATACCTGTGTATGTAAAAAATATACGAAATTAAATAGAATTTCTCATTACTATTATTATTATGGATTGGTAATTATCTCAAAAATAATTTACAAAAACAACATACAAACATTTTTTTCAGTAGAAACGAAAGACATTTTTATTTTTCTTTTAAACAATCATTTTATTTTTATTACTTTTTGTTCAGTGTATTTTGTTTTCATAGTTTAAAAAATGCAATTTTACATAAAATAATTAACCAAATGTAAGTTGAATGATCATTTGATCGGATATTAAATGCATGCTTATAATTATTATGTATATCGTCTGTTGTAGTTTTGCTTCTTTTTAAACTTTCTCTTACGTAGTACCGAACTTTCTCTATAATAAAACAAGTTTAATTACGTTTTTATTGAAGTGTTATTTTACAAGAACTAACACAGACAAGATTTAAACAAGCCACAAAAATATAAATAGGATTACAGTATCACTAACACTATCTTCAGTATCGATATCATTTCCAATAAATAAAAATATTACCGTCATTTTTAAAAGAAACAGTGTAAAATCGGTCAAATGTGTAAAATAGAGATGTTAGCAAGAGGTCTTTAGTCCGAATTTGGATCATGAATCGTTTATATATTCTTTGATTAAATTAAATGAATTTCTTTAAGCAGATATCAACGAATTATAGGCTTTTCGATTAAAAATGAAGACAAAATACACTACACAAAACCAGGAATAAAAATAAAAAAATTAAATACTATTTAATATGAATTAATTATTTTTTGTTAAATTTAATGCTTCTGTTTTTTTTAATAATTAAATTACATTTTGTTAAGCTTTCAATATCAAATAAAGTCCACACATACACTCACACAAATCAATTCCATAACACATTCATGTCATGTACATGACATGGCTGTCATTTTCCTCTTTCACATACATACATACATAACAACATGCATACATTAAAAACCCACACACTATTCAACCGCAATTAAAACATAATTTTAATTACGATTTTTTACAAAACCAGATCAAAAAATCTTTAATAAAAAAGAACAACATTCATTTGATTAATTTAATTTATTATAATTTGCCAAACGAGCTTGATGTGTAAAAATAATGTTTTGCAACAACAAACCGTTTTACAGAATATTGAACAAAAAAAAAAAAAAACAAAATACATTATTTTTATATGTATATGTGAGTGTGTGTTTTGTTTTTTTAATACCACAATGTTGTAGCTGTAATGTTTTATATATGTATGTTTGTATTTATGTGTTAATCTCGTTTTTTGACTAGCTTCCGTTTCCGTAAAATATGTTCTGTTGCAAAAACCAATCAATCATATACAAAATAACTTTAATATGCTACGAGCCTATTTTCTAAAATCCGATTAAATACAGACTGGAAACTTAGAAAATTAAATTTAGAAACTTATGTTATCATTGACCCTAGAATGGCAACACTTCATACCAACTTATGAAGAATTGCCATTGGTGTAAAAGTGCCTAGTGTAAATCGGAATTAATTACACAGAGAAATTTGATTTACATGAATATTAGTAAAATAAGCTCGTACTAAATGTTTCCGTAACAATTAATAAAATTGTATTTGTGTGGGAATTGTTTCTTTAAATTGTCCTTTTTTAGTTTTTATTCATTTCATACTTCACAGAGATGATTACAAATTTTTACATATAACTGCCAAAAACTTAAAATAAAATCGAGAGAAAAATTAAATATTGAAAACAAAAAGTTAATCATTAGGTTTTGTTTAGTAACTAGAACAACTCATTGCAAAAACAAACAATTCCATTAATTTAATTAAATCATTTTCTTTTACTTCTATATATATTTATATTATTCTAGACTACAATACAATAAAATATTTCTTTTCTTAAAAAAAAACATTACTTCATTTAATATAAGTTTAGTTTTATATTTCATTTACGCAACCAACACAAACAAAAAACTCATAATTTTGCTTTAAGTCAAACCCCAAACTAAAAAAACAACAACACAAAGAGTTTACTTAATATTGCAATAATTATTTAATAAAAGAAAAGATGGAATGATGAGAGCATAAGCTAAGCAAGCAACCAAAATAAGCTCAAAAAATATCAAAAAAAAACTATAACTATCTAGTATTATTTTTTGTTTTCTGTGACTAAAACAAAATCATGTAAACTTCATTTAAATTTATGTTCTTTATTTTATTTTCAAATTAATTTTTATATTTTTGTGTGTGCGCTCGCCTACATTACAAGTCGACCAATAAACATTACAAATCTGCAGCAATAATAACAACAACAATAAATAATATATAGTTACAAAAACAACATTTCATTCTATATAATTTTAGTTATGATTTTTTTAAATAATAATGTATATGATTTTAGTTAAAAAATATAAATATTTAATATATTATATATAAATTTATATAATTTTCATTTTTTGTTTTTTTTGAATAATTAATAATAAAAAAATATGGAAAAATATATATCTACTTTTTAATCAAAAGCATTTTCATTTAGTTCAAAAACTTGTTTTTTAAACAACAAATTGTATGTTTGTGTGCGTGTTTTATCATCTATTTATCATTCAATCAATGTTTGTGTAACGTTTTCTGTTGTGCTCGTCTGCAAGTGTTTTTCTCTATGTGTATTTTTGTGTAATGTCTTCTCTCTAGTAAAATATTCTTTTCTCTCTCTCTTTTTTATTGTCCTTACACTTTGTTTTCCTTATTTCCCGATGATATATCCCCAAATTCTTGATTTTTTTAAACTAAAAAAGTGTGGGATAAGTGCTCAAAGCGTGTATGATAAGTGCTCTTTGAAACGAAGAATTCTTACAATATTATCTGAACTATAAATTGATTTTATATGTATTATTTTGAAAAAATTGTGTGCAAAATATTTTGGGAAAAGTTTTTCCAAAAATGCAAAGGATGGCCGTCCTACCTACCAATTATAATGAAATTTATGCATTATTTCGCTCAATGCTGATTTTGTCATAGCCCTGTCGCATTTGTTATATCGATAATATATTTTTGAAATTTCGAATCTTATTACAATTTTTCTTAATTTTTTCTTGTTCCTATTACATAACCCTTAAAAATGTCCCAAATTGTCAATGTTACGTCAGCGTGTGTGTGTGTTCCTCTTAGTTGCAATTCACTTACTAACTTAGTCCTAGATAACAAATCTTTCTTATTTTATTATTTTTTTGTTTACCTTAATGTCTACACAACAACACTAATATTTAATGTTTATTTCTAACTAAAAAAATTGCAAATATTTTTGCTAAGCCGCAAACACAGAAACCACATTTTTGACCTACACAATTTCGGTCTTCAACAACAAATTTTAATTGTAATTTTTTTTTCAATTAAATTCAAATATTTATGGTTGTTCATATACAAAAAGGAAAAATAATGAAAACCACCGTCACCAAATTCACCACTAATATTGTAATTACCCAATTCACCACCATATCATTATTACAAAAAGAAAAAATCTCAACAATGAAATTGGGTGTTAAACCTTATTTTTTGAATTTTCCCATTTTTTCTTTTCTTTTTTCTTCTCTTTTTTATATCAACTTGATAACTCTCTTTCTGGTCATAACTTAATTTGGCACGCTTGTATCTAAAACAAAACAAACAAAAAAACTAAATTTGAAAAATTTAAAAAAACTACCCATACCTTCCCCTTCAAAAATGTGTACACTTGTGTCTTTGTAATCAAAAAATAAAAAAAAATGTAAATTTTATGGATGAGTAGATAATCCTTATCCCAATGGTGTAGCCTCTACGGATCACAACAGCATATTAAGGCTAACAATCATCGCCATGGTCATCATTTACCTCGCCAACAGCAGGAGTACATTTACCGGGCATCTAAATCGACTAGTGGCAGCGTGGTAAAACCAAAAAAAGAACCAAATACCACCAACCAATCACATACCACCACTCTTCCTGACTCTAAAATAATGTAAAAAACAAAGAATTTAGTGATTGCCAGAATCTCCATACTTCGATTCCATACCAAAACGAAACAAATTAAGGGGGGTCATTTATTGTTATAGAAAAAACCAACAATTGTTTTAATAAATTGTTAAGTGGTATCCCTTACATGAGAATACTTCAGTTCACATAATTTTATTTGCAATTACACAATTTGTTATTGAAAATCGTATTACCTCTATTTTGTTTTATTATATTTTAAATAATTTTAAAGCATTTATTTTCAATAAAATAAATAATTACAACAACAATTGGCTGATTTCAGTTTTTTGGTTTCGCATATAGATTTATTCGTTTTTGCTCACAATTGATAATTTCTTAGGTGGCCTGGCCATTTCAAAGATTCTTCTAAGAGATAATCTATGCAATTGTTTACGTCCGAATTTTATTTTATTACACAAAATTTATAAATATTATTCTTATATTCTGGTATTATTATTTTTATATATACTTTCTATTAATACTACTAACTTTTTAGTTATACATCAATGGAATTAAAGTTTTTTATATTTCCAAAAAAAATATAGTTATATATTTTCGTGTATTTATTTTATTTTCTAACGCATACACATAACTCACTGCAAAACACTGCCAAATAAAAACAAAAACAAATTATAAGAACAACATTTGGATACTTTACAACAATAAAAACGATGGAAAATATTTATAGAAATTTACAAAATATATAAATAATAATTCTAAATACAACAATCTAAGGTTTATTATATGAATTTATAAATATTATACGAATATAATTATTATATATATGTGTGTAAATATTATTATTATTGTTAGTTGATTTTATTGTTATAATTATTATTATACTATAAGTATAAAACATATCCCTTTTATATATACATACATACAAACTACTAAACAAATCTATTTTGCAACGAACCGAACCTATAATAAAATTAGATTCGGGACTGAATGATTGTCATACATAAATCAATTTTTAAAATTATCTGATCACATTGTGTTTAACAAAAACCTCAGCAAGATGTATGGCCAGTTAACTTTAAAGATTGTTTAATTGTGTGCGTCATACGATCCCAACTTTATTTCTTTCTTTCTTCTTTTTTGAAGAGAAATCTCAGAGGTATAACAAACACCAAGGTCGTAAAAGCATTTGCGATATAAACAGGGTGGAGATACGGAGAGGACATTTGAAAAAACTTTACTCTCTCTCATAGAATTCTCAGCTTTTGTATTCGTTGAAAGATAGCTCTCGGTCATTATTAATGTCAACGATTGGGACTCTATTGTTGTATAAAGGACTTCATTAAGGGTTTATATTTAAAAACATGTCATTCTTCATTATTTATTAAAATTCCAAAGAAAATTCACATGACAAATGTTTTATATTACTTTTTTAACTCTGAGATAAATATAAAAATAGAAAACTTGTGCTACATTTAATTTGAGGTATACGTTAAAGACAATAAATATATAAGCAAATTGGCAAAACGAAACTATAAACATTTAATATATGTATAACATTAAATATAAATAGGTTATTTAACAAAAAAAAAATATTCCTGCATGTAAATGGTCCATATAAATCTAAAAAAAGTCCCTCAAATGTTCTTTCGAGAATAAGATAACAATTTGCGTAGGCAAAATTTTGTTCATTGGCTTAGAATGGAGAGTACTACACCATGAAGAGAGATTTATTTTGAAAGAGGGTTATATAGAGAATTATTTTTATTTATTTTGATATATAAATTGTCAATTATAAGAAATTAGTATAAATCTTTGGACCTGTTCCTTAACAAGGTGTAGTATTTAATTTAAGGCCAGACAAAAATTATGCCTTACATTAGTTAAAATGTTTAGTTAAAATTTTTAAGCATTAATATCAATGTACGTAACACATCAACTATAGACAACATAACTAATAATTTTGGTTAGAGCAAAATAAGAAACAAAAAAATAAAAACACTAAGGTATGGCTCTCAGATTGTGAGGTCAAACGTATAGCAGCGTGTGTTGATCTTCCATTCTTAAGGCCAAGACAGATTAAACTCTTTTCCTTGGGCGTTAGATATCACAAAACAAAATGTTGTTTTTTATATTTTGGCAACACGAAACTGAACACATAGGCGTTTACTCTGTCTTGCCCATTAGCCTCCAAGCCTGAACACTGTTTTTAGGAAGAAAAATAAAACCAAAGCCCGCCTCTTTATTCAAAATAGCATTAAATATTTATAGAATTTATTAAGTGTTGTATATATCTAAGAAGAAGATTAGTGAAATGATAACTGAAACTATAATTTCTAAACAAATAATAAAACGAGCGGTTTAAAACGTAATCATAAATAAAGGAAATATACATTTTTAGTGTTAATAAAATTGATAATAATTGTCTTTGATGCTGGGGAAAAGAAATGCAATAGAAATTTATTTGTTTTTACCATAAAGCCTTTAATTTTACTAAGGAAGTAAGTTTTCCGAGAAGAAATACAATGGATGTAAAGGTTCTACAAATTACGATGCCTCCGAAATCTAGTAATCATTGGAATCCTCTTTACATATATGTTGTGTATTTTGTGTCTCCTGTAATATTTATTATATCTTTTATAAATATTGTATAACAGTTTTCTATAGTGAATATTTGCAGCGTGTTGTAACCTAATAAAAAATCCAAATCATTGCTGTTCACCAAGGTAATATTCACAAGAAATATATGTATGTATATTTTTTAGTTATAAAAAAATAAAATATTATACAATGTAGACAAATAAATAAAAATGTAATTAACCCCGTTTAATTAGAGAACACACACTGTTTAAATAACTCTAGTTTTAGTAGAAGGATAAATAAAAAAATGTTTTCTTTCTTTACACTAAATTAAAAAAAATGAAATTTGTTTATTAAGGTAAAAGACCGGTGAAGATGATATTATGGTAGTCATTATTAACTGTACCAATCTCTTCATTGAATCTATACCTTAATTTTATTGTTTTTAATTTTTTAATTCTCCACCCTAAAAACTTGTACACTTTATATTTTTATATATATCTACTCGTATCACCCCCACACATTTCGTACACTTATCCTCACCCCTTTCACCCAATCTATATCCAATGGTTCCTAGCTCTCTTAAATGCTTGTGTTATCTCTTGTAAATATTTGTTGAATTATAAACAAATTTATTTATTAAGCAAAAAAAAAAACAACTACTATCCCTGGCTTTTTACTGGTATGTTTGATTTATTTCTTTAAAAAAATTTGCATTGGTTGTTGTTCTAAGTTAAGTTTTATATAATTTTATTTGCTAAACCATTTTTTTATTTTTCAATTGCATGAGCTTTGTTTGTTTATACATTTTTGAAAAAATTCTGCTTACATTGGTTGTATTGTATATTGTTTAATGCTTTCTTCTTTAAAAAAAAATTTTATTGCATTTGTTTTTTATTATTTATTTTATTGTTTTTGTAAATTATTTTTGACAAAAAAACAAAACAAACAAAATTATTTAAATCCATACACACACAAAAATGTAAAAAAAGAAATACTACAAATCAACAAAAGAACATCACTTTCTAATCATTGGTAATTAAAAAAATAAAATGGAGTTTGCATTTATTTAGAGCATAAGTTTAGATAATAAGATATCAAATCGTTTACGAAATTTTCAAGAAAAAAGGGAAAATTTGAGATATTTTAATAATTTTATAAAAAATATTATTTTTCTAAAAACTACAAGAAAAATGATTTTTTTTACGTTGTAATTAGTAATTCAAAATCTTAAGCATTTCTTGAAGGAGAGGTAAATTTGAGTTTTTTTAGAAAACTGATTTATTTACGCATAATAATCTTTATTTTCAAAAATAGAATATCAGAGTTTTTAAAATTACAAAATATCCCCATTTCTTGAAATTTTCTTAAATATCTTAGTAAATATAAAACCAAGAACAAAGCTTTATATTTCATGCAATAAACGAGATAAAGTTATTTTTTTAATAAACCTAGTAACCTAGTTAAGGAATATAGTTACTTTGAACATTTCTATTTCACAATTAAGACCTGCCCCTCACCATTCTCCCATGAAAACCCCTTTAATAAATAAAAAAAAAAATACCCACACCCCAGACTTGCCTTGCCCTGCATCTTTACAATGCCAATTAATGAAACATTAACTAATCATAAACATTACAATTATTTGTTTTTCTTTTCTTCCCCCCTGCTTCGGTATATTGCCCTCCAATAGGTATCGATGTTATACAAATGGCTGAACGACAAGTACTATCCTCGGCCTCAATTGTCGGCATTGCAGTGGGTGGTGTATTGCTGTTGCTTTTCATTGTCGACTTGTTGTGCTGTGTTACCATCAATATGGGTGTTATGGCCAGTATGTGCAGGCGCACCAAGAGATCACCATCGGAAATCGATGAGGAAGCCAAGCTGGGAAGGTAAGCCACAAGAAATTGAACATTTTTATTGCCTCAAAATTAAGCGGCAATAAAAATGTGTTTTATAGTTATAACTATTCCTAGTTCTATTAGCTAATCATCCCTATTTTAAACTAAAAAAATAAACGTAGCCTAATCATGTAATATTGCACTGACCAACAAAATTTTCTTTGTTTTCCTCCCCCACTTATGCTTTTGTTGTTTTCTTTTTATACTTAAAGTGTTGTTGTAACCAAAGCAAAAATCGCTAATACGGATTTGAATTATCATTGGGTTTTCCACAGACCCAAATCATTGATACTAAACCGCAACCCATTATCATTGGTTTAAATTTTCTTGAATTTTGAGTTTTGTTATTCCTAGTAGTGCAATATTAAATGATTTCACATTTTTTGTTGTCATTTGTGTTCACACTCCTCTTTCCTTTCCTTCATTGTTATTTAGTACTTTTGTTATGTTTAGTTAGTTAAGTACCTAATCAATTAATCATAATCATCATCATCACCTTTTAAATCATCATGTTCATACATTTCACATTCCCCCCTCACCCTTGGTATCCTGTTGTCCTCATCACACAAACGCACACAAAATAATTTCATTAAACCCAAAAACAAAAAACAAAAACCAAACAAATCATCTAACCAAGCAGTCCTAATGGTTGGCGTTTCCCAAAACCTAATTGCAGCGGCCAGCTTGTTAAGGAGCCCCCACCATCACCGTTACCCTTACCGCCACCCGTTAAGTTAGGTGGATCCCCAATGGTTTCGCCATCGTACGTAAAAAACAATAACTACTAGAAAAATTATACTATTTTATTTTTTTTCGTAATAACAATTAATTAACAAAATAATTAATATATGAAATGCCAACTAACAACAAACTGCTATCGCATTGTCATTAACATACTAATCATCTTTTGTGTTAATGTATTTATTTTCTTTTTATCAAATGTTATTAGCTTTTGCAAAATATATAAATAGATTTCAGATTTATTTATGAAAGAGCCACAAATTGCTTCAGTTATTAATGATGATCCTAAAAGTATGCAACATACATGGTAACTTGATACAAATTATTTGACAAAAAATTATTTAGATTTTTATATATATAAAGAAATAAAGAATTTCTTACATATTAAAAAATAACAAACTTACCCTTAAACTTACACAACTAGAACGCATTTTCTAATAGTTTCTATGGCTCTTTCATAAATAGGTTTCCTTTTTTAACTTGTAGCATTACTCTTTCAAAAAACCTATTTTTTATTCAATATTAATTGTTATCTATTCTTTTCCATTTTCCTCAAAAAAAAACAGAGATGAAAAACAACCGCTACAAACACCCACAGAAAGTATAAAACAAAATTCCACCGTTGAATTTGATGGTAAATTTGTACATTCACGAAGTGGTGAAATAATTGGTAAAAATTCAGCAGTGTAAACAGTATAAAATTGCGACCCATTTTCCAACACAAAACAAAATGGATGATAATACGACCCAACAATAAACTAAAACCCCGAATGCAAAGATAAGAAGACAAACAATTGGAAAGGATTTCCTGCAAAAATATTCAAACACTTTGGGAATGATTATGCTTCATTATTGTAATAACTATATAAATAACAATATACTCTCTATACATACATATATGACAAGAAAACAAAAAAGAACAAAACAATAACAAAACATGTAAACTTAATTTAAAAAGAAATCACAGATATTCGTTTCATAATGCCATTAAATGTATTTTTGTCATTGAAAATCGTGTAAATCTCATTGCGACAAATATCGATAATTTCGACTATGTGTTCATTTATAAATGTTTTATTTAAATTTAAATGCGTTTCTGGATAAGAGTGAATATGCTTATTCAATTAAACTCAATTTTATTTTAATAAGATCTAATATTTGGCACAATAATTTTCCGATATATCGTTATTTATCGTTATAAGATTTATCTTAAGCTATGTTTACACTCTTACTTGTTATCATAATATATACATTTCTCATTATCTATTTGCTGTATATTTTCACACTGTATCCGGCAAATTCATCAGAGATATTTATTATGATAATGAGCTGAAATGTAAACGAGCTTTTCTTTGTCTATTTCTTATAGTAAGATATATTTTTAATCCAATGACATATAAACAAACAAATCAGGTTAATTTTTTATTAATTAATGTTTTAGTTGATTAAACAAAACATATTCCTCATTAGTTTAAATATGTTTTTGATTTTTAGTATTATTCATTTTAGTATACTACATATACATACCTACATATATCATCAACGTATTCTATTCATTCATTTATTGCCTTAATTTTTTAAATTATATTTTTGTTCTAATTATAGAAATTAGTCATAATGCATATAATTTGTGTATCGATAAGTTAAAAAAGCAAGCAACAAAACAAATTCATCACACAAACTAAGAACATGCCATTATTTTTTGATAAGAAAACATAATTTTAAGTTTCAAACCAAAACAAACCCATTTTCATTTCAAATTCAAAAAATATTGCCATTAAATTACATTATACTATAAAAATATTTATTAAAAAACGATTATCCACCTATTTTCTATAATATTTTTATAAAATATTAATATGCAATAATACACTGTGCTACAAATATATATTTAATGTAAACATAGTAAAAAAACTAACAGAAATATTAAAACAAATGTCTGAGTATAGCTCTCTAAAAAATTTTTAAGATAACATTTTATAATGTCATTTCCCATTCGAACATTGAATGATTTTTTTAATTTTACTGTAGCACAGTGTTATTATTCTAATCGTTTTTGGTTTCATTAATTCAAATTCTATAAATCATGACAATTATTTCATTATAATTTTATATATTTATTGGTACTTAACAAATTTTAAGAGACTAATGCTATTTTTTGGTTCTGTAATGTTTATATATATAAAAAAATAATATATATAAATTTAAGATAAGTGTAAATTGTGGCTTATGTGAATAAAATTTCAGCTAATAAGAAAAACATCAATAAAGAATGATAATACAAAAAATATGATCATTCTTATATACAAGAAAAAATCCATGACAACAAAAGAAACCAAAATGAAAATGCTCAATATAAATATAAATCAAAAATACATATAAATATAACGATTATATTTTGTTAATGTCAATATTAATGTTTGAAATCTTAAAGAGAATTATAAAAATAGTCATTTAAACACATTTCCCTATGGACTACACCAAAGGCCCCACTCAGTTGCATTTAATTACACGTTTTACGAATCTAAATAACGCAACATTTTTATAAATATTGCTGTAGACATGGGTTTTATCGATTGTATTAATTGTTTACAATTAAAATATTTCTTTTATTTTTAATACAAACAATTTAAGTTCAATATATTATTGTAAGTTCAAAGATTAATACTGTCCGAATTAATACGATTTCAAACATTAATATAATTTTAGTTTTTTAGCTTCACTTTTGACATATTGACAGTGTTTCTTTCCCAATGAAGTTTCTTTACAATTACATCGCCAATTTTTATACAACATAATTTTTTTGAAATTGTAAAATATAAATATAAGAAAATAATATATAGGCTAATTTTAGTAATAAGTAAATGTATTTATTAGTATTAAGATACAAAACAAAAGAAACAACATTTTTCCACCATTAACTATATACACAAATAAAATTATAAAACAATAAAAATTCTATATTCAAAGAAAAAACATTAAAAATGTACATTTGTTTTTATTTGCAGTTATTAAGTTTAATTCGTCATTATGTGAAAAACAACATAACCTACATTTTGGTAAAGTTAAGTATTTTTTCAATCTTATTTATCAAAATGATGGTTTTGTTGTTTGTTTGAAGATGTTATATGTTTATATTGCATTATTTTCTTTGTTTTATATTTTGCCTCAAATCCTAAACAAAGCCCACAACAAACAAGCGCCTTTTAAGAGCTTTTTAAAATAAATACTCTACAAATACAAATTATCAAAATATATAAACGTAAAAAATAAATGAAGAATTTCTTTTGAAAAAAAATATGAAAAGAAAGAAATTCTACTCATAAAATCATGAACTTTGTACAAAAAAAAATATTTAGATTGAATTCAAACTCTTACTATTATCATAAATTCTTAATAATACCAATTTCGATAAATTTAAAACAAAGTTTATTAATAAATTTACATTTTATCGAAATGAGTATTATTTTGTTTGGCTTTATGATAATGTCTACTTAAACACACAGTTCTGTGTTGCATAAAAAAACAAAAGTTAAGTATAAAAACAAATTTGGATAAAATGTTATGGCGAATTTAAAATTACAGAAACATATATAATAAAATCTCTATTCAAGAAATAAATAAATCAAAATGATTTATATTTATATATACAAAAATAAAATGGCCACATAACAATAAATAAAGAATGCATTTAAATTTTTTATTATTCAAATTATGTTCTTGGTATTTATACACTCAAATAACCTAATTAACTAAAGAAATGGCTAATAAGAAACATTAAAACCGATGTAGCTTTTCTATTATTATTACCAACCAAACAAATTGAATATTGTATGGAATTTGATTTCTAAAAGAAGGTTCTTTAAAAAAAGATAAATAAAATGGCAAATGGAAATAAAATGAAAATGACTTCCAAAAATGAAAAAAGTATTTGAGTTGTTTTATTATTTAGATTGGATATGTATGTTTAATAGGTAAGATAGTGTCCACTTTGTTTGCATTTAACAAAAAATAAACAGCCGATATTTTACATATATTTCAACTTTAACATAATACCCCTTTTCTCCTATATAACATATGTTTATATATGTATTGTTAGTATGTAATAAAAATTTAGAATTATTTTTAATCATTAGTGCAAATTTTATGAAAATCGGTTACGTGGTTGCTGAGTTATTTGCATTTGAATTCAACCATCTTCCGAAATATACTTACTGTTCGGTGCTGGGCGCCTATTACCTCAAAATGAAAAACTACACAAAATCGGGTCTTTCAGCCGACATGAAAAATTGTCATTTTTAAAAAAACCATTTTTGTGTGATTTTTCATTTTCTGGTAACAGGTGCCCAGCACGAACAGTAAGGATATTTCAGAACCTCGGAATTCATTCATATAATGTGGAACGTTTTTATTTCGGTCGGTTTATGGTCACCCTGTGCGTTCGAAATGCCCGCCTTGTGGAATCCCTAATCGGCCATTCTCCCATGCCATCTTTGTAAACAATACGTTTTTTAAACAGCCTCCATCCCACCTCATTCGTAAATATTGTTGACCTACTTTGAGTTCCTTCTTTATCGTCGATTTTGCTTTCTTCACCATTCGTTAGAAGGTGGAACGTTTTTCAATTAGATTTTAGTGGGTGAAAAAGGCGCACAGAAAAGGCATTCACACGACATCATTTGCATCATTTTTAATTTTATTAATTTTAATTAATGTGTAAAGTTGTTTTTTGGTAATCACAATTAGTTTTTAGTGGGTGAAAAAGGCGCACAGAAAAGGCATTCACACGACATCATTTGCATCATTTTTAATTTTATTAATTTTAATTAACGTGTAAAGTTGTTTTTTGGTAATCACAGGAATCATTTTGGAGGTAAGTTTTCTACCCATATTAATTTATGTTTGAATCTGTTAATCTGGACCCGGCACAGCCAACCCCACCAACCAATTGGCCGTAACAGGAGTCCTTTACCAATCCATGTGGATATATTGAGCATTTAGAAGATTTGAATGACGTACATAAAAACTTCAAAACTATGATAGTTATCTAATTTAATAATTAGGTAGGTTGTGATTGGTAGTTAGGTCATGTCAATGGAAAATATATTCTTCACAAAATTTATTCGTTGGTCTCAGAAGATATTCAATCTATATCTGTAATATTCACAATTAATAAACAAGAAAGGATATATTAACAAAGAAACAGTTGTAAGGTTATTTCATACCTATTTTCAGTGGAGTCCGAAATGACCAAAAATTCATTATTTTCGGATATTTCGGTGAGGATGTCAAGGGAAAATATATTCCACAATGGGTCTCCGAATAAATAAAATCTGTACGTATAATATTTCGAAATAAAAATGCAAACACAAATAAGGAGTATATCAACGAAAAAATCGCTTTAAACCGTATTTGGTACTTATTTCAAATTGAGGCCAAAATTTACCAATAATTATTATTTTTTTGTGGATGTTGTCACTGGAAAATATATTATAACAATTAATAATACATTTGTAATGCAAAAAATTCATTGCAAACTTTATAAACTTTTTGCACGTTAATACGCTACGAATCGCACCAAGAAATCGCCAAATGACATACAGCAAACACAAAGTTGACAACATTGCTGCCTCGTTCTTGTATTTTGACGCCGTTGCTTTTGCATTACTAGAATATTATTTGTTTACTTTTAACTCTTTATCTTTCGTTACGTTGTTATCAGGTTTTTAGTTTCTTTTTCCCTCTAATATCCACTCCTCGCACATAATTTCATTACTTAATTAGTTTCAAATAAAAAATACATATCAACGACAAGAACAACAACAACGCCACAGTTAGACATGTCGGAAGTACGCATTAGACCTCGCCAAGTATTGGTTTTAATTATAGTATTCCTGGTAATACTACTGATGGTCCATCGCAATGGCAAAAGGACTTGCCAAGGACCGGCATATCTACAGGCCATGTATGCCAAACAACAAGATGAGGTATTGCCGACAATTTACTGCATAACACCAACCTATGCCCGGCCACACCAAAAAGCAGAGTTGACGAGGTGAGTTGGCATCGACCGACCCTTGAGTGTCATAAAACAAAAGATAAAAACCACTTAAATGCTGTGATGAATGTATGACTAATGTATGTGTGGCTATTTTTAGGCTCTCTCATGTTTTTATGCTGGTGCCAAATTTACATTGGGTTATTGTGGAAGATTCGGAAACAACTACCAATTTGGTAAGGAATTTATTAGAGCGAGCCGGTCTCACTCAACGTTCCACCCAATTGAATATAAAAACACCCACTGCTTTTAAACTGAAACACAACGACCCCAATTGGATAAAACCACGCGGAGTGGAGCAAAGAAATTTGGCCTTATCATGGATACGTACAAACACAGATGCCGAGAAACACAATATTGTCTTCTTTATGGACGATGACAATTCGTATAGTGTGGAACTTTTCGCGGAGATGACAAAAATTGAACCTGGTCGTGTGGGTGTATGGCCTGTAGGCTTGGTTGGTGGTCTAATGGTGGAGAAACCATTACTTAATGCAGTTACAAATGAAGTAGAGGGTTTCAATGCCGCATGGCGTCCCGAAAGACCATTTCCAATTGATATGGCCGGTTTTGCCATATCAACAGAATTACTTTTTAAATATCCCGAGGCTACATTCAGTTATGAGGTTCAGCGTGGCTACCAAGAAAGTGAAATTTTAAGACATTTAACTACTAGATCTCAATTGCAACCATTGGCCAATAATTGTCGTGATGTGTTAGTTTGGCATACGCGTACAGAGAAAACTAAACTAACAAACGAGGAGGCTTTGAACAAACAAGGGAAAAAATCCGACGAGGGTATGGAGGTTTAAAAGTATTTATATGATTTTGTTAGGAATTAGAAAAGCAATGATTTAGTTGTTCAATTTTTGAGATTTTTATTTATTTTCAGTATAAGTTTTCTTTGTGTTTTTCTGAAAAGGGAATGAAGAATTTATTAATTTAGAATTTCAGTGTTTATGCCACGATCGATTTGCGATTATAAGACTTTATGTACACTTGGAAATGTTAATTGCCACAATTCAATTCTTTTTTTTCAATGATGTGGGAGGATTAATAGCCGTCCATCTCTCGATTTAGCAATTGCAGGAAGTAAAATTGGGTAATGTAAATTGGTAGAGAACCTTTTTTCCTTGTTTGTTCAAAATCTAGCCATATAGTTATTTATAAACATTTTCATAAAATAATTATATAAACATCAACAAGACTCAGATCTTCTAATGTTAAATGTCCTAATATTTTATTTATCATAAATAAGACAAAATAACGTCGCAGATATATGTATTATAATCGGTAGTTCAGCCATGGAGATAAAATTTGGGGGAACGCAAACTTCATTTTCATATGGCCAAATAAAATGAATATTATTGGCATGAAAATAATACCAATATATCACTCGTCTCTAAATTTATTAGATTTTATACAAACTGTTTGTGATCTTCCAGTGACATAGGTTAGGCACATGATAATCAGATATAAAAAGACAGAAATATTGTTGATCAGCAGAAAAAACGATAATATGTGTTTGTAATAAAACGCAATGACTGTTGTATATACTTTTTTAATTTCAGCTTATTTTAATAATATTGTTTGCAATTGTAAATAATAATACTATGAATAAAATAATATATTTTTATATCTAAAACAAAACTAGTTTTCAAAAATTACTTTCAGGATATATAAAAGCTTGAAAATTCCATAATATTATAAGTTAAATTTTGACGAACAAATTTAAATCTGATAAATTAATAGCATCGCAAAGACAATTATTTCAGTTAATTCATAAATCACTACGAAGATTGTTATAAATATTATAGGAGGCACGCGCCCTTTGTCTTAACAAAATAATTGTTTACTTAAATATACAAAATAAATTTAATATGTACGTATGTGCATGGATCTGTTGATGTTTTTATTTAAAAACATTATCGTTTTCAAATTGTTTATATAAAAAATCAATTTGCATACATCTAGAAACATTCTCTTTTTAATATTATAAATAAGGTAATGTTTTGTTTATACGCTGTTATCGTCAAAAAAGGACAATCAACTTTTTGTTAATTGCCATTATTCTAAAAACGTCAATAATTTCCTAAAGATTTTTTTATAATTCTACGAATATTTATTGACATCGAAATTAATGTATACATTTATCAGTATTTAATGCGTGATAATCTTCGGTCTAGTTGATTTGCAATGTTATTTGTTTCAATGACCCAAAAACCTAGACATTTTTAACTGTTGTTGTAGATTATAAATATTAAAGTATAAACATTTTTGAATTGTTTTAACGTTTTACTAATATGAAATACAAATGGACAATCAAAGAAGGGTGTTATTAAAAAATAATTTAAAGTTTCATACTAATTATAGAAGTCTGTAAAAAAAAAAACAATGTATGTACATAAATTGAAAATATCTTTCTCTCCGGAAATAATTTCAAATTTATTTTGGAAACCTCAGCTGTAAAATGGAATTGTTTCTTTTTTTGTATATGCATGAGACTAAAACAAAAATCTTAATTTCTATATACATATGTATGTACATACATGCTAATTCTTACAAGATAATTTCAATAAATCGTTCAATAACCGTACAAATCACATCGTCGTTTCAATACTAATGATTCTCTTTTCATTTAATACCAACAACCAATAAGCCAACAAACAACACATACATTTGAAAAGAAAATCAAAATCAGACGTTTACTTTAATTTCGAAAAAGCAAAAGTGCAACCAGTTTTACTTGAGTTCAATGCTATTGTACTGTAACATATAGGTGTTAGGCAAAGCCTTTATTGGATGTAGAACGGCCGGAAGAAAACAGCAACAACAAAGCCAACCAATCAATTAACAAAACAGAATCAACAATTATACCTCAAGTGCCAATACAGTCGGGCTTTAGTATTGCAAGTACTTTCAAACGCTACACATAGCTGCAACGGCAGGATTCAATTGAATAGCTTTTTTTTTGCAAAAAAGGAAATATATTTTTGAAGGATTGAATAAAAAATGGAACGCTGGCGTGGAAAAGTAGCTGTTGTCACTGGTGCCAGTGCTGGCATAGGCTGGGCCATTTGCAAGGAGCTTTTAAAAGCAGATATGATTGTTATTGGTCTCGCTCGCCGCCTTAAGGTCATGGAAGAACTTAAGTCGCAATTACCTACAAATCAAAAGGATCGTTTCTTTCCCCGCGAATGTGATTTAACATCATTGCCATCGTTGCGTACCGCGTTCCATTGGCTGGAGCAAAGGTTCGCACAAAGAATGCATGTCCTTGTAAATAATGCAGGCATGTGTGAATTTTCGAAACTCTTAGATGCCGGTAATGATGAGGCCATTAAACGGGTCATTGATGTAAATTTAATGGGAGCTGTTTATTGTACAAAGGAGGCATATCGTCTAATGAAAAAGGCCATGGAATTTGGTGAAGAGTGTCATGTGATACAAGTTAATAGCCTATTGGGTCATGTTGTACCCCCACACATACCCGGATGTGGTTTTAATTTATATCCCGTGGCCAAGCATGCTTTAAGGGCAACAAATGAAATTTTACGTCGGGAAATGGCTGATGATAAGCTATTACGTCTGTCGGTAAGTGTTTGGATTGATTGAAGAACCCACGTAGAATCATGAAATTAATTGTATTAAAAACAGTAGAATCCCTTAGTAATTTCTCTCATCATTTCAAATATGAATTTGTTTCGGGTTTTTCGTTTTAAGATCATTTTTTAAAATATGAGTTTTAACAATTGTAAGAAAAAAATAGATTTCTTTTAACGTTTTTTTTTATTTTAACGATTATAAACAAAATCTACTGTAATGTATTCCAACTAATTTTAATTTTATTGGTGATTATGATGAATAATACGTTATTAAAACTGGTTTTGAAAATATTTGCTCCTCCCCCTTCTATACACAATTGTTATTTTGTTTAATGCTATTTATATCTGTATTTTTTTTCTTTTAGACAATCAGTCCTGGTTTAACAGAAACTGATTTCGGCAAAAAAGAACCATTGTCAGAGAATGTGGATAGTTTTCCTGATTTTGAACAACCTTTAAAACCGGAAGATGTTGCTAATGGCGTAGCATTTATTTTGGGTTCACCCCTTCATGTGACCATAGCAGAGCTTCTGATGGTACCCACAAGTGAAAAGTATTAATTTATTAATGTTATGAAGTTGTATTTAAATGTTATTTAAATAAATTTTAAATTCATAAAATGTAAGGATGTTTTGATGAATAAAATAAAAGAAAGAATATGTAACCCAGTTTGTTGTATCATCCCGATACGAGTGAGATTAATTTAGAATTATAGCTCTACAAAAAGCACGAATATTTTGGTGAATGCGTTAAAATCCTGAAACTGCCAAAAGGAATTCCAACCAGTAACATCCAGTATAGTGCACGGGTAATCATTTTGTAGTGAATGGCTATTCAAGTTAGTTCAGTCGCTCTTTCCAGTGAATCCTTCATTTGAACTCAATTTGTAATACAAAATATAAACAAATCCACTTCGACTCGAAACGCTCCAGAAAGGAATGGACAGTGGAAGAAAGCTGAAAAAATGTCTCGCAGACACCAATCCCAAAGATTTGATAAGGGAAGTCAAGTGTCGACCAGGTCTATATAATAAAAGAAAACTTGAACAACCAAAAAGGGAAAATAGATACCAGTTATGGCTAGAAGTTGCAGAAAGTTTGACACCAGAGGAGGAATGGCAGTCTTATGGAGAACAGGAGAAGGAAATGAAGGGTTAGAAGGAAATCAAAAGTGTTAATCATATGCAATTAATAGTTCAAAAATATATTATTTACAGTCGAGGAAATCCGCATTAAATGGAAATATTTGCGCAACATATTCCTTCGTGATGTTAAGCTAATCAGATCTGGCAAAGCTCATACCAAAAAAAAGTATAAGTATTATGATGACATGGAATTTATGAGCTCTTTTGTGCTAAAATCTAAATCTACTGATACTACAGACGAGAGTGGTGATGATGGCGACGATGTAGATTATACTGTAGTCAACGACAATAATTCAAAGAATAGTTCAGTAGTTGCACACGACAAGCCACCTAAAAAGCGGTCCATAAAGCAGGAAAAATATGACCCTCTCTCAAGCGGCAACGAGCTAACCATGCAGCAAAAGCTTGTGATCAATAAATTTGATAATCTAAAGACAATTTCACAGAAAATAAATCCATCTCCTACTTCAGCTGTAACAACGATTCAAAATCCTCTTCCAGACATTAATATGAGAGATGGAGAGATGTCATTTTGCATGTCGCTGGTGCCCACAATGCGCAAATTGGACGAATCAAAGAGATTGAAAGCGAAAATTGATATATTAACAATACTTCACAGATATGTGGAGGAAACTATGCAACCGGAGGCAAAGAAAACTAAATTTTCAGATAACCAACAGAACGGTAATTCTACACATGACAGAAATAATTCTGAAGAAGAGGCAATAGATGAAAACGACCCAGAGAGCAATATAGAGAATGTTTGGTGGACATAACATTAAAACCTTAATTTAGTTGTAGGAATAGGAAAAAATGGAGTATTAGGTTCTAGTAACGAGATATAATGCGAAATGGAAAATGAGAAATAAAGAAATGTGTAGTAACACCGAGTTTATTAATGTAAGTAATATTATAATTGTATTTAATATATTTTCCACAAAAGTAGAATTTCCGAGAATGTTGCAAAGATGGCTGGCAGAATTTATCATAAATTATATTTAACAATTTAGAATACTCATTTGGCCGTACCACCCTATTATTGTATAAAATATACTAGGTAATGCCAATTTTGCGTTATTTATCATAATAATTATGGTACAAGCGTTATATTCATTTTTAAACCTTTGAAGAAAATGCCTCGAGTTTTAAAACACAAATGTTTCTAAAGCGCAAAATAAAATCAAATTAATATTACTTGGTTATTAAATGTATGTCATAAAATAGAGAACACACACAATACGCCTTAATTTAATGACAATCCATTGTCGACTATTTTCAGTGTTGTATACATTTTTCATACTCGCATCTAGAGTACCCTTTATTTTGAAAGGCTAGTTCTTACTGTTCCATACAGTGAATACATTCTTTGAACAATTACGACTCGCGTTTTTATAGACGCTAAAATTTTCCAGTGTTAACAAATTAAATTAAGTTGAAATGAGCGGATTTCATCCAAAAGACTTGATACGAGAAGTCAAGTGTCGCCCCGGCCTATACAATAGAGATCTATTGGAACACCCCAAGCGCGACCACAAACATCAACTTTGGCTAGAAGTGGGTGAGAAATTGACGCCACAAGAAGACTGGGAATCCTATACGGATGTTGAGAAAGATGCTCGAGGTAATCTGGCAAATAGTACATTTGATAAACACACAAATTAATCATTGTTATCCTTTGCAGTGGATGAAATCCAAGCCAAGTGGAAACATTTGAGAGATCATTTTTACAGAGAAATTAAGCTGATTAATTCTGGCGAAGCACACAAAAAACGCAAATATGTTTACTTTGATGATATGGAATTTATGCGGGAATATGTGGGGTATAAAATGCCACCAACAAATAAAATGAAATCCAAATACAACGACTCCTTAGATGGCGATAATTCGGACTCTTATTATATGGAAGACAACGATACCGATGAAGTTATGGAGGAATTGTTGAAAACAAATGACAATGCTGAGGATGAGGAGTGTGAAACACCAGAACCACGCAGAAATCCAAGACGATCAATAAAACCAACAGCAAAAGTACAATCACAAAAGGTGGCCACCGCGGCATCACCGCCAAAACCCAACAAATCTCACAAAGAGACAATTAAGAATATTGAGGGCATGAAGAAAACCGCCAACGGACAAAATACGGGCGGTGCAACAAGTTCTGGTGCTAGTGGAGCTTCTGTACCATCATTAAGGATACGTGATGGTGATATCTCATTTTGCCTTTCGCTGGTGCCAACGTTCAGAAAATTAAATGACAGTGCCAAATTGAGGGCAAAAATAGAAACGCTTAAAATTTTGCACAAATTTGTCGAGCATGCAGAGAAAAATAAAAATACCGCTGACACGGGAGCTGCGGCTGCGGCAAATCTTAGCGATCAGGATGATGAGCATGGCATGCAAGAGGATCATTTAGATGATATGGATGATAACATTAAAGTGAAACATGAACAAGCTGATGATCCGTTGCATGGATCTAGTGGTAATACGAAAGCATGGTGGACTTAAATGTTATGACTCTTTTTTTCTTTGTTTAAGACAAAATTATCAAATATAAATAACATTTTTACCATATTATCATTATTGAGGATGTCAATAGATATGCGTACATATTAAGTATTTTTATCTCTAGATAATAAAATTACAATCGATTATGTCCATTAATAAATTAATAATGAATAACAACATTTTTTAAAATAATCACAATTACAAATGTTGTTTTACTGAAGGAGAAAAAAGAAGAACATATTAAAATATTTATTAAAATATGTTCTATATAAAGAGAAATGATGGATTTATGAAAAAAAACTATATAGTTTTGTTGTTTCGTTCTGTTTTATAAATAAAAACGTCACTTATGTGGCACTTTTCAAGTGATCTATTATTTGTGTAGGGTATAGTACAGTCTACCCAAATCGACTATACCACTTTGTTTACATTTCACAAAAAAATTAGTCGATATTTTTCATATCTTTCAAGTTTCACATAATGCCATTTTTCTTTTATATAACATATGTTTATTTATATATGTTCGTGTGTGATAAAACTTTACAATTCCCTCTAACCATTGGTGCAAAATTTATTAAAATCGGTTACGTGGTTGCTGAGTTATTTGCATTTGAATTCAACCATCTTCCGAAATATACTTACTGTTCGATGCTGGGCGCCTATTACCTGAAAATGAAAAATCACACAAAAATGGCTTTTTTAAAAATGACAATTTTTCATGGCGGCTGCAAGATCGATTTTTGTGTGGTTTTTCATTTTCACGCAACAGGCGCCCAGCATCGAACAGTAAGGATATTTCGGAAGATGGTTGAATTCAAATGCAAATAACTCAGCAACCACTTCACCGATTTTCATAAAATTTGCACCAATGGTTAGAGGGAATTGTAAAGTTTGAGTACATATATACGATACATATGTGAGGGTATTTAATTTCGCATAGCGTAGTTAATTGAGTCTAGAAGTTGAATACAACAAAAAATAGTGCAAAATCCGTTAATACTGTGCAATATAACAACATATTCTGCAATTTGCTTTCTTGTTAAAATGTTCATTAGTTAGTTCTGAAACATAACCAGTGTGTTCATTTTTGCAGCCGTAGATAAAGCAAACGAAGTTGCGAGTACTTGTTGCTAGCCAGTTAAATAAAACCAAATTAAATGAATAGTTTATTTTCATTCAATTTTTTATTATATGTATGTCTGTATTGTATGCATAAGAATATGTTTATAATTCTATGAATTGTAAGATATTGGTATTATAAATCATTTAATGTTGATGTTTTATTTTGTCTTTTTTTAAAACAATATTCTTTATTTTTTGAATAAAGCATTTCATCAAAGTCATTTAAATCACAAACATAGTTTAATTGAAGACCACTTGGAAAACAGATCTACTCTTTTGGAAACCGCCAATAATTTTTATATAGAAACAAATGAAGTTCAATATTTGGGTTGATTTCAAAATTATTTATTTTTTTAATTAAAACATGAATTCGAACCCCTTGGAATATTTGGAAGAAATTTTAGTCAATGTTCGTCCTGAAAGTATATGCAAGTATTACTGGAAACTCGCCTATTTGGATTTTAGAGAAAATTAAACGAGTGGTCTCCTAATGTGTAATAAAATTGAATTATGCCACTTTATAACTGTACCAAATTTCAGACTTGAATCTATTATTCATTTCAATATATTTCTCAATAAAATGTTGTCTTTTTAATACTTCTGTTTCTTTTCTCTTTGATAAATAAATGCATTTTGTTTAGAATGTTCATGTTTATTGATGTTTCATTATTAGCTCATTTTGAATTATTAAATCGGGATTTTATCAATATTTAATAATAATTATAACTATATATTTCTTATATGTTTTTTTATTTGATTTTTTTATTATTATTATAATTTGATACATTAATAAATAAGACTTATGACATAAACTTAGAATGGAATAGAAGAAAAAATTGCATAATGGGGATAGGTAGGTAGTGGGAGGATAGCAAAAATTGTAGATATTGTTTAAAATTACTTGGATTACGGCGTGTGTGAAAAAATCATGTTTAAAAAATCTCTCGCTTTTAAACTACAATACAAAATAGAAAATACTATATCATGTATGTATATGTATATAATAATATTTATGTATATCAAAAATGATTAAATTAAGCTCTATATTTTTATAATAATTATTATTTTTTATAAATGTATAATGCATCTTTCTCAGTTAGCTTAACAAACAAAAAAAAAAATACAATTTTCAATTTCAAAAGACAAGCTGTCTTTTTATCTTTGCAGCTATTTTAAAATTTTCATAGCATTGCTAATATAATATTTTGCTTATACAAAAACATAGATTTATGAAGAGAACATCACATAAAACATAATTATTAAAATAATACAAAAAATATTTAAATAAAAATTAAATAACATTTTTGAGAATTTTTATAAAAATCCTCATAAACTAATACAATTTCATTCATTCTTTCAAATGTTCTCATACAAATATGTTATACATTTAAGGGGGAGACAGAGGAGGCAAAATGTGTGTGAGTGTTGGGGGATAAGGGATTGACAGTCTGTCGTTATTAAACCAAAAAGTTTAAATCTTATATAAAACACATATAAAGCCTTAACACTTAATGGGAGTACCTAAGGTAAACAAACGCACCTGCGTTCTCTACTAAACAAACTATGTAACTGGAAGATTTTCATTTATCTTCATGAGGGATGATTACATTTCTGAGTGTTTTTATTTCTAGTATAACAAATCGGTCTTTTGGGTACTCTCACTGTAGGCTATGTTGAGATCATCATCTGCTGGTTTTATATACTGCAGACTTTCTGGTTCTTGTTCGCCATCAATATCACTGCTAGCCTTGCCATTTAATAGACCACCATCACCAATACCATCACCATTTGTGGTGCATTCTAAGGCTGGGGCCCGTGTTACACCAAGTTGAAAAAGTCTATCAATGGGTGCTTTCATAGGCGTGTAGAAACCAAGTGGTGCTGAACCTAAAAAAATCATTTCCAAAAAATATGCATGGAAACAAAGAGAAAAATAGAAAATATGTTATTATTGAAATGTACAACATCGGATATCAATTGTCATCAATTATATAAACAAAACATACATTTATTTAGCTTACAAATTGTTTCGGATTATTGAAATGAAAATGGAGATGCAAATGAAGAGCGGGTGATTTGATTTGAAAAGAGATGTCAATGGTAGATGGTAGAAGTTACAAGTACGGGTGTGCAAGTCGAAATGTATGAAGAAACATATTCAGTAAGCGATAACAGATACAGATACAGACAAGGAGAAAGAAGATTTGATATTTTGAATGTTAGAAAATATTAAAGTAAAAACTTCTAGAAACTTTTCACGCTGAAAAATTAATGAAATTTTTTGGCATTATTTATTCAAGACTGCTGGCAATTCGTATAATTTACAATAAATTACCATTTCCATTCTAAAAAATATGCTGTTAATTATTTCATATATTTCATTCATTTATAATTAATAATTAATCAAAATACCCCTTTCTCCTTTATTAAAATAATATTTGGTACATGCAAAACAACGTTACAAATACGTATAAATGTTAGTTACCTTAGTTAATAATATGTAATATATTTTCTATTTTCGTGGTGATTTACATGGTTGGATTTACATCAAATTTTGTTTTTATTAGTAAAAAATTAGTAATTTTTTTATATAATCAATAAACAAATAATTACAAAAAACAACTCAAAACTTCTTAGCAAGTTAAAAACAAATTGAGCAAATATATATAAATTTTTGTTTCCATGTTTCATACCACCATTTAAATTCGAATTAAAATTATGCGGGGGGTTACTGCTCTTTGGTTAACTACAACACAACATCAAATTGGTTGATTTGTGACCCTTGACGCTTTTCACATGGAATGTGCGAGTTTGGAGGATTATAAGTATTTGGCATTTGAGATTGTTGGTTGGATTGATCGATTTCAAATTTGGTATTTTGTATGGGGAATTTTAATAGTTTGTTTTAGGCACAATAGCATCTATATTTGATATTGAACTTTTTCATGTTTTTTTTCTGCTTGATTTGAGGGGGAAATAGAGATAGATGTGAATGGATGTTTTTTATTTTTATTTTAGATAACATCTGGAATAAAAGAAAGAAAAAGGAAATATAATGCCAAATCAATACATATACATATTTATATTTGGAATTAACAAATATACAAATTGTTTATAAATAAATGCCTTTAATTAGTCAACAGGAGATAACCAAACAGGACAAACACAAAAATCATAAAATAAAAAATAAAACACAATAATGGAAAACAACAGCTTGTGTATTGACGAGTGTATAACGGTCAAATTGGTACCAAATTGATTCCTAGGGATATAAATTATACATTTTTTCATAGAGACAATTCTGCAAGGTCATTGTATTTAAACAAATGTATTTGTACAAGGATTATTACAGAAACAATAATGGAAAGTAAAACTATTGATTTCATAATTTTAAATTAAAGAACGGAATGATCCTTTTCGAACTTACATTAATTTTAAGTAAAAATAAATATATACCACACTGCCGAGCCTACATACATATTCCGTACAAATTAATTATCCCTCTAACCATAGCATATTGATTACCAACAAATATATATATATATATATATATATACACATATTTGTTTTTTTCTATTTATTAACTACAAACATTTTATCCTCTAAATACATAATTTTATAAATTATTTAAATAAGTGACACATACATACATAGAATTTTATTTCTTTCGTTTTTTGTTTGTTTGTTTATAGACATATAGAAAGTAGAGGTGGTAGTGGTGGTGGCAGATAGATAGGTAGGTGGTTTGCTAGTAGTAAGAAGATACATTAAATCGGTTGATAGATATATATACTTCAAACATAATACAGCGTGCTGCCAGGTACACGTCTACGCAGAGGAGGAGCACAACATTTTGTGGTAGTTGCAGTTGCATTGGAAGTCGAATTAGTGTAGGAAGCTTTGAGGCTAGTGGCAACAAAAGTAGAAGAAGAAGTAGTAGTGCTAGTAATATTGGAGATTGGCATTCCAGTCATGTCGCTCTTTTTGTTGGCGTTGCTATTTGTATTGTTACTATTCTCGACCGTCTTAAGGCTGGGGGCTAGAGGTGCATTGGCAATTGAACAATGCTCTATTACTTTGGGTTGTATTTTTGCTGTCCTTATCTCATTTCCATGCTGTTTCACATATTTTGCTGGATTTGTTTTAGTCATGATCGAAGAAGATGGTGAAGAAGAGGTGGTAGTAGTAGAGAACGAAGTAGTTGCGGTAGTAGTAGCAACAGTTGTTGTGGTTGTAGTCGAGGAGAAACGAAAATAAGAACAAGAAGTAGAAGGAAGAAAAGTATAAAAATTCTGTGATTTCTGAACATTTGTTAGCACCTTTGGAATGTCGACCTCAACCTGATGCTGCCCATGGTTAGTAATTATATTTTTAGAGTTGTTTATGGGATGTGTGTTGCTGTTGTTGGTATTAACCATAACCCTGGTTGATGGTAATTCGATTTCAGAATAGGATTTTGTCTTTAAGCCCATGTCGTGTTGTATTGGTATAGTATTGTTGTTGTTATTATTAGTGGATATTGAGTCATGGGAGATTGTATTTGCTGTATATCTAAGATAATTATTGTCAAAATTTATGGGTGTTAGAATATTCAGGGAATCCAATATGGAATTGGAATTGTGTGTAGTGTTTAATGTATTTTCAAAATTACGCCTAAATGGTCGAGGGCTTATATTGAAATAGTTATTTTTGGAATTCAATAAATTTGAAGAATTTTCTCCATTCCGGAAATTTGAATTGGAGGCCAGGAAAGGATAATTATTATTATTATTGGATTCTGTTTTGAATTTTGTGGAACTTATGGAATCCTTGGTGGAGCTTGAAACAAACCTATTGCTATTTATTTTGTCTTTGTCAACACCTTCTCGATTAATGGAATTAGGGGAAACAAAACTATTGCCTGCTATGTTGTATTTGGACCCAAATAAAATAGTTTGAGTTTTATTAGGTTCTTCCGTTTTCAATGTAGAAAAGGGAACAGTTTCAGTTTCATTAATTTTTGATTTTACTCCTGGCAATTCACAAGGCAAATTGTAAGCCCTAAAAATTTTTTTGCTTGATTCTATCTTTGTTTCAGATTTTATATCTAGCTTTTTATAATTCCCTTTATTCTCCACCATACTAATTGAACGATTTATGGTGGCTATATTTTTTGTCTCCTTTCGGACAACATTTGAATTGGATGATTTCTCGCTAAAACTTTCATAAAGACTTAAAGCATTTGCAAATGATTGAGAATTACTACGATTACATTTTCTTGCCAAACTATAGGTGGTATAGCTGCTGGTATCCTTGAAAGACTTTTGTTTAGTTAAATTACTATAGAATTTATCTGTTGTCTTAATATTTAATCTTTTATTTGATTGGTTTTCCGTGGAGAGGGTATTTTTAGTTTGGAAAGAAGGAAACGTATACTGGTGTTTGCCATCATTTTTAGCAGGACTGATAGTGGGAATTTCTAACGCAACAGAATCTGCAACTTTTTCTTTTGTCTCACTGACAGTTTTTGAATCTTTTATGAAACCTTCCTGCCTGGTTTTGCAATAATCTAATTGTAATGGTTTTGACGAAATTCTTTCCATTCCTGGCTTCTGTGGTATATCCTGATTTACATAATTAGCTTCCGGTTCTGTTTTAACTTTGGCTATTAAACTACATGTGTCAGAATTTGAATTTCCTTTGCTCACAAATGGAATACTCTTTGTTTTTTTGTTGAGAATAGAATTCCCAGATATTTCGAAAGGCCTGGGAAACTCAATATTGTAAATATTATATCCAAGTGAATCTATTTTCTCACAATTACGTTCGGCAATGTTTGGCGAATTTTCATCAAGTTTTTTGGAACTACTTTGCTTCTTAACGGAATTCCTATTACAATCAATATTCATGTTAAGATCCCTAGGTTCGATTTGTTTTTTCATATTATCCTTACAAATATCATCGACATGATCGCCTTCAACGTCCTCATTATTAGAACTGGGAGAAGTATTTGCAATATTTTGATTTAAATAATTCGTATCTACACTTTTCTTTGAATGGTTACTATTATCATGTATCTTGGAAATATTATCTAGTTTCTCAATTGACTCAGTTTGCTCATTCAAAGAATTTTGGTTTACATCTTGTCTGGGAATATCTTCCATCGATCCTGTCATATTTCCATAATCGACATTTTCCACAGATAAATTCCTTGTCTTGTCATAACGTTTACTCAACGAATCTAATATTATTTTACGTGATATTTCAACACTACTTTCTAGGTTAGACTGACTTATAATCGAATTTCCCAAATTCGAATCTTTTGTTGGAGGAATCTCATTTATTACCAAATCATAGCTATATTCATTGGAATTTGCACTTAACATAGAAGTATTGGTGATTTCACTATATTCCTTTGAAGTGATTTCACTTGTGGAAGAGTCCATGGATAGACTTAGGGCATCTTCAAATATATCATCTAATGAATCTCCAGACATTTGAACTATTTCTTTGATAAAGCTACGCTTCGGTATGGTTTCTTTCTGATAAATAAGTTCGGAAGCCGATTCTTTAGAGAAAGCAAGGTCGTCCAGGGACTTGGAAGTTGATGAAATTTCCTTTTCCTTAGAAATATGCAAATGTTCCATTGACTTGGAAAGTACAGGAATTGTTTCAATACCTAAAGGCTCCTCCAATATGTCTTGTATAATTTCTTCTTTCGTTTGCTTGAAGTTATCAGACATATCCTTTGAGGTTTCTATTAAATTGGGCAAAGAGAAATAATTTTGATTGACAATTTTAATGGGTGCTGCTGGTTCGTGTAACTCCAAAAGGGATGTGGTGCACACAAAGGACTCTTCTACCTGACTATTTGCATAATTTAAGTTTATATTTTGTAATGAAACAGATCTGTCCACAATTGAATTGGAACTTAATAAGGAGTCACATAAATTGATATGTTTTATGTTAGGGCAGGATGAGGTGCTCTCTTGAAACTCGTTACATCCTTTATTATTCGATAGGCTCAAAGTCGAAGTTTGCAAAGATACACGGTTTAGTAGATTTCCTTCTTCTATTACATCGTCGCCTATAATCTCTCTATTGTCCAAATTCTTAAGAGTTAAGTTAATCAGGGAAGTCGATTTCAAATCATCTACTTTCTCATCAATTGGGACGTAAGCCGTTGGAGGTTTGGCATTATCGTTAGCATTACAACAATTCGTTCGAGTTGAATTCTTAGATGAATTTACATTGGGATCAAAATATATAGAAGTGGTAATTGTATTGGTGTTAGCAGCCTTGTCGGTTTCCAAATTATTCACAGATGATGGTTTCTCTAAAGTTCTTAGGGAATTGGAACGAAAAACAGGTAACGTTACAAGATTTGTATTGAAATTTCGACGAAATTCATTGGAACGAGATCGCTGTATAGATGATGGCCTTTCTGCTTCAGCTGGATTGGGTTTTAGAAAACAGGCATACTTGGGATGACTAAGGATCTGTGGCACTTTACGAGGTTTCTCTTTTGAATTGTCGTCGTCCGTTAGTGGTTTCTCCTGAATTGTATTGCCATTTGAATCATGTTTATCTTGGATTACGTTGTTCAATTTCGGCTGTCCTATGAGCTGGTGGCCTTGTTGTGTATTCATTGCTGTTTGTGGTGGTGTAACTTGGGGTTCCTCCAAAATTTTGCCGCGGCCTATATTTGCTTTTGAATATAACGGAGGTTTCCATGTCTTCATCCGGTTGCTTTTCACTGGTAGTGGAGGTTTTTGGTTCACCATCACTTTGTGCTGTTGTTGTTCTAGCAGAGGTAAGGTTAAATCTTTTCGGGATTTTCGCATTTCTAATGGCTTTGGTAATTCTTGTAATTCCATGTTCTTGTTGTTGTCCACATTGGTGATGTTGCTGTTGTATTGGTTTTGCTGCAACTGCTGCTCGTGCTCTGTCATTGTTGTGGTTGCTGTTGTTGTTAATGTTGTAGCCTTCTCTAAATCTGGGCAATCTGTAAAAATTTGGATTTGTTTCGTTTTGGTTTTGTTGTTGTTGATCAAATTTAAACAGTTGCTTGGATATGATCATTTGGGTGGGAGCGGGATCTCAATTTACAACTTTGAACACCGGGGAAAGAGAATTTGTTGCTCTGGTTTATGTGCTGCTTAGGATATTTGAGCATGTCGTGTGGAAAATGTTATATGATTTCTGGAGTGATTTGATTTGACGTAATGTTTATAATAAAAATAACGAAAATGAGAAAAATAGCTGAAAGTTTGTGTCCGCAAGAGTTGTGGTACTGTTAACTTAAGTTTAAAGAGAAAGTGACCGTACGAGGAGTTCATCTTAAAAAGTATCATATATGAGTTAGGTCCAATATATATAGCACATATGTTAAAAACTCAAATTTATAGTTTAATGTTGGATATTTTGAATTCAGCTTGATATTTGGCTGGATATTTTAAATAAAATCTGAGTGTATTGCTACAGATTTATAGGGAAAATTTCGTCAAAAATAGATAAACTTTCTCGGAGAAAGCCAGTAAACTTATTTTTTTAAGAAAAGCATGTATGTTTTGACCTAAATTTAATAGGTTCGATTAAAATAACCCTATGAAGCATAACCATACATGCCTTCCATTTTAAATGAAACCATTCGGGGCACATTAGGAGAAAAATTCGGAAGAAATGTAAATTTTTAAAGCTAATGTTTATATGTATATTCAGAATTGCTATGTTTAGAAAATTGTATTTCACAGCAACAACTTATTCAAGTTTAAATTTAATCTCTAGATCCCTAATTCAAAAAATGGTATGTGTCCTTGACTAATGAAATATTGTGATCATGATTATGAAAAAAATTGCTAAAATGATATAAATAGCGATTATCAAGATAAAAAAAGACCCACAAATTAGGAAGGAGATTTATTGGAATTTCTGAGAATTTCAATTAAAACAAAAAAATCAATTGAGGGAATACAAAAACGAACCTTATGTTCAAATTTCTAGTTAGTTTACGTAATGATGTAGAACATATTTCGAAAAGATCTTTGAATGTTTTGCTTGCCATTGCTTTTGTTGGACAATATGGGATATTTTGACAACAAAAAGTAGTAGTAGAACTGGGGCTATTACTGTCTCGACAAGAAGTGATGGACAATGTTGTTGTCGTTGGTTCAATAACGGCTATAAAAACATAAAAGAATATATATTTTTTGTTGGGAAGTATAGTTGTGTAATGATAGAATTTATTGTTGTAAAATACCTTATGGGGTAAGGGGTAATTGGAAATAAAAATTTAGATTGTTATCAAGAGGATCTTGATAGAGGTTGGTTAATATATATATATAAAAGCAAATGGTTAGATAGGCCCTTGGATTTGTAATTTAGAAAGTTTAATAAAACTACATGTTTTTATTGGTAGAAAACAAAAAGAGTTTGTAATGTGTATGTGTGTTAGAAATAGTAAACCCAAAAACCTTATACCAAAAAAATAATAACAATAATAACTATAAAAAAGAGACAAATAAAAAATACAACCAAAAAGTATGAATAATAAAGTAAAGTTAAAACCAGAAATGCTGAAGATTATGACAACAGCACAACACCACCAATGCAATGCAAATCAAGTATGGAACCATTCAAAACTCACCTAATGGTAAATTGCCTAAAATATTTTTGGTGGCTGTTGTATTGGCAGGTGAATTAGTACTTTCGTTTGTTGTTGGCAGTTGAATAATCTCATCGGCAACATGATGCAAGGGTATGGAATTTTCTAAAACTAAATTCTGAAATGTTTGGTTTAATTCCGTTTCTCCAGATACCGAAGAAAATGAATCATCCACAATTAATGAGGCTTCGGAGGGATATTCAAATGTTGATGTGAGAGTATCATTAAATTGTACACGGAACTGTAAAGAAAAAAACAAGATGAAAATAAATATTAGTGAACTACGGTTGATTTTAAAATAATAATAAAAAAACAATTAAAAATATATTTACAGAAAGGGGACAATTCCCTCATCCAAATATTTTCATTGGGGAACATATTTTTTCTTTGCATTAAAGATACATTTCATTTTCAAAAATGCTTTCCTTTCGAAAGGCCAGGAATAAGATTCTAAGTTAATTCTAGATTTCTATTTTCCGATTTATTTTCCTGACCTACATTTTCAATCCCCACAAACTCCGTAAAAGCAAATTGACATACATAGTTGTGTAGAATGAATATGACACACAATAGGTAATGGTCAACCCAATTTTGTGGTACGTGTGTGGTGTGCGTTGTGAAAATACCTTTTTGGAATTTTAAAATATTTCATTGAATGAATGTTTTGTTTATTTTTTTTTTTTTTTTTTGCTTAGCCGGTTATATATTTTTGGTTATGTAATATTAAACCATCATACCCTTTTATGGAATACCTAGTTTTAGTTTTTTTATTTATTTATAAATAGGTGAGAAGGTAGGTTAGTTTATGCAAATTGTATTTTATTTTCAAAACAATGAGACAAGAGCAACAGCATGTGTTAAATGATAATGAACCCAGTTCACGCACTAAAGGTGTTGTCAGTCACCTCATTGTGTGTATATGGCAGATGTTACCCAAATGAAGTTACACTTTAATTTTTTTGTATTTAAATTGGGTTAGGAGTTTGTGACAAAAAATGCATATTGCGGAGAGTTGAATTTGCAATATATTGAAATTAAAGCAAACCAATTTTGAGATTAATGGTAGTGGTTTTCAAGACTGGCACCACAGTTCAATATCGGAATGGATCCACCATATTTTTATCATCTCTGAAAAACTGTTCGTATTTTTTAATGATCAGATATTTTCATTAGAAACAATCGTTCCAATTGGTATCTCATAAATTTGCCTAGTGTAAACAATGCCTTATTCAATTCCAATATATAGTAAATAAACGTAAACAAAAATCTTTATAAGGTTATTATGGGATATTCTTCGCTTGCTTCTGATGAATATTTTTTTTTAATTTTTTTTTGGGCATTCAAACGAAATGTCAATCACGAAGTCAGAACACAAACTTAAATGAAAGTAAGTTTGATTGAATGAAAAACATATTTGGTAATGTTTGATTTTGAAAGTCTTTGTGTCACAGAATAGAATTTAATGTCAGCCAGTCATGACTGTTAATGCGTTGGTGGTTTGCGTGTTAAATTGGAAGGGTGGAGGCACGGTGCTAGAGGAGATTAGAAATATTTCAATGACACTTATCTTTGGCCAATAATAACGAAAAAAAAAAATAAATAAAAACACTTGCGAATTAATTGAAATAATAATAATCGCAAATAGAATAATTTAAGCGTCAAACATGTGAAAAGTATTTTGAAAGCACAACAACAACAAAATCTTATCTTTAGTTTCAATAAATTATTGTCATATGGTTTGATAAAATAAAAATGAAATTGGGTTATTGTGGTTTTGTTTTAAAATATATTTAAAAACATAACAAAAAAACTATTTTTTCTATACTCTAAGTAGTTTGATAAAAAAGGATCTTAGTATTAGTATAGTCCCTGTAAAAGGGATCTACCAAACGTAGGTATTTTTAAGGTTAACATCCGCAATTTTGGCATTGTTGGTTTCTTAACATTTTTTAATTTTGTTTTTTTTTTTATTAGTTTTATCCCCAACTTACCGTTGCATCTTTGGGTTTCTGTCGAATACTTGATTTACCATCAATCACAATATTAGCATTAACAAATTCAACATCACATGGTGAGGGTGGACACATTGAGAAGTCATCATAATCCAAATCGGTTGATGTTTCTACTGAGAGATCACCCAATAACACAAAACCGGATTCGTTTGGCTGCAAATAAATTGGAAAAGAAAAAATATTAAATTGATTATTTTTATCAAATATAACGATTTTATTAATTTTGAATTCATATAAAAAAATATCAATCGTAGAAGGAAATTCTTGTTAGGAAAACAATCTGCAGAATTTCAATTTCCATATCCTCTTGAATTATCATCTCTTTGCAAAGTTCACCATGATTTCATGGTTAAAGTCAATTAAAAATAATAACAACAACAACAAGAAAATATAACAGCATCTTATTCACTTTTTATTGTGGCTGTTGGAATGATTCAGATTCAGTCTAGTTTCCCATTGTATATAATTTTATTATCATTCCTATCAGTCTGCAGCAGCAGCAACACACCGGGCAGATGATCTTCAGATATTTATTCAAGCCTTAGGTATTATTTGATTCTATTTTATTGTATACGTATTTGCAGAAAAGTGTTTTTATTTATTGTTGTTGTTGTGGATTTGTGATCTCTTTTTTATTATTATTGTTATTAAATTTTTTGTTGTTATTGTAGCTGGGAATTTATGCCTCACATACAATTGCTGTTTGGGGTTAATTATGACTACCGAGAGAAGGAGGCAGAAGGAGTACATATTTACCCACAAACCCACAAAACAGACGAAGATGTCATGCCACATAAAAACATGTGTGTATTCATGTAATGCCAACCGCTACTGTCATCATCTACAGCCACTGAAAATAATTCAAGTATTTGAGTTTGAATTTAAATCTCCACCATATGTGTTGCACAAAAAATAAAAAATAAACGACAAACTTTAACCTCAACATTCGAACTGTGTTGAGATTTGGCCTTGCATTGTTGTTTGTGTTTTTTATAAGAAAATCAGAAACTGAAACAAAAACTCATATAAAATTCTGTAAAATTTTTACTTTGCAAAAAGTGGTTCTTATGGAAATACATTAACACACCATAGATACACAACCATGAAAAATGGTTTTTAGCCTGCAAATTGGCATTGAAGTTGTTTACAGGGGTCCATTAAGACCCCGTAAAATACATTAAATCGAAGACTAGTTTATCCTTGAGGATTTAGAACCCTAAAGTCTATTTCCTACTTGGAAAAAAATGAATATAAATTTTTCACTGAAAACTGTTCGAATGGAAAACGAAATATCATTACAGTTATGGCACATGTAACAAATTATTTAAAAAAATATAACCCCAGGGACCCACTCCCGTGATTGATGAAAGGGTTAATTAGTTTCTTCAAAGTTTCTTTTTTTTACGAAACACTTGTTTCCATGATCCAAGTTCATTTGACAAGTTTAATGATCCTCAACGTCTTAAGGAAAAAAACACATACACACAACAACAACAATGAATACATTATTCTACATTCTTTAAAAATAATTAAGAAAAAAAACTGGTATCTATTAACTAAAGTTATTATTTTTTGTTGTTTGTTATGGCTTTGAAAAGTTATTATAGAACAAGTTATTATAGAACATGCTTGGATTTGTTTTTTTATTATGGTCTAAAGTTTGGTCTGATTAAATCGTGACCATTATTTCAAAATGAAGTCAAATGCCACTGGAAAACTGGATTACTTTCAAAGGTAATAAAAAATAGGATTTCACTTTATTGTGTGTGTGTGTTTATTCGAGGAGGGTGTATTGACGTCTAACTGATAACTTTCAATGGAATTTTATTGAAAACAACCTTGTCATTAGAATAATGACAGAGCAAGGTCGCCAAGAAACCACTCCTTGGCGTTTTAAATTAAGTTCATTCTACATTCATGGACTTAAAATTACAATATATTTTTTAAAATTAACATTATAATTGGGCGCCATTTGAAGTAAGCTACTACGGAAAAGCCAGATAAACCAGAACAGGATTTGGAATTTTTGCCTTTTAATAATACATATACTGATATCACAGAAAGATTCGAGCCAGAATTATTAATAGGATTTAATTTAGCCCTGAATTCTTTTACAAATTAAGGAAATTCAAAAATCAGCGGTATTCAATGAAAAAATCCCAAAAGCAGTGGGGCTTAATTGATAAGGCAGAATTCTGTACATTTGTTATTTTCCTAAATTTTATCAAAAAGAAAATAGGTTAATATTTCAAATAAAATTTAAAAATAAAAATTTTGAATCTCACAAAAAGAAACCTAAAAGCAATGGCGCCCAAGTGAATATAAATTAAAAACTCCCAGAATGGTTATAGTTCAGTGTTCTTCTACTTCCCTAAAAGCAATGGCGCCCAATTGCATATAAATTCAAAGAAAATCTGCTGTCTAATAATAAAAACAAGCTAAGATGGCATCGAATTCGTTATTGAAAATCTGTACATGTGATCAAGGTTAATTTAAAATAATATTTTTACAAATAATTGTTTATTAACTGAAATAGTTGACCACAAAAAAAATAAATAAATAAACATAAAGTCATCTTAAATGTGTACATATGTATGAGCATACTTGGCTCTGAACACAACAATTGACAAGGGGTTTTGAGGTCAGTAGATGATGGTATAGATGTCATACTATAATTACACATATCTAACAACTAACCACCGCCCACCTCCACCCCTTGCAAAAAGCGACTGCCAAGCATTATTGCTTTGCAAATAGTTTTTTTTCGTTGGTTGGGGTAATGGACAAAAAATTGTAACACATTAAAAAGGGAGTTGATGGTATTTTTTGGCTTAAAAGCCAACCAAAAATAAAAGGAAAAAACTATAAAATGTTATGATGGTGATTTTTGTATAAAATATAAACCAAATAAACACAATAAATATGATACGCTTCGATGAATTTGTTTTACAAAATTGCCAACAGTCACTAAGGCAAATGAAATAGTAAAAAAATATAAAAAAAATCTCTAAAAATTACAAATTTGACTTTAACAATGGAGAAGCAATTTTCTATAAAAATAATCAAAAAAATTAATACTTCATTTTTTATTAATTAAATTTAAAAGAAAAAAACTATAACCATTCAAGCTTTTCAGACCTTGGATAAATATTTAAACACAGAACGACTGACTAACCGTGTTTCTCTTCTACATTTTGTTTCTTTTCTCCTTCTACTTTTACAAAAAGAAAATATTAAACCGCACAACACGTAGCTTGATATTATAAAATTTTACATTTTTTTACGTTGTTACTTTCAGCCGACATGACGAAACGTTGTGATGTTTCCTACAGCAATATTAAAACTCATAGAATGGTTACAGTTCAGTATTCTTCTACTTCTTTACCGAATTATTCAGTTACATATTTTATATGTTTAATTTTTTTGTGGTCTGTCCACGTTTTACTGATGCATTTTCAATGTTCATTCTCAATTTCGAAAGAAAAAAAAATAGAAAATGAACTGGCACATGCTGCAAAACTTTATTTACAATTTTCTACAGGCAGGCAGGCAGTCAGCCAAAGCAATGGTCCGTCCCATCACGTTCACAATGCCAAACATTATTTAACTGGTATTTCTTTTTTATTATTATTTTGCAGTTCCTTGTTGTGGTGGGTATTGCCAAAATAAAGAAAAACCTTTGATGTGAATCATATTTCTAAACTAAAAATAAGGAAGAAAAAGAAATTGGGCCGGACAGGGCCAAAGATACCTAAATGGCCCAAATTGAGTTTTTTGTTCTGTTTAATTCCTCATAAATTGTCAGTCATATATATCAAACCAGAAGCATAATTATTATTTGTTTATTAAATAAAATAAAAAATTAAATATGTGGAAACGTTGGGCGCCAATAAAGCCTAATTTGAATTTTTAAACTTTTCACTTTGAAAATGTCCAAAAATAATTAATTACGAATATTCCGTAAATTAAACAAAAAACAATTAATGCAATTTAAGGTAATCACCTGGAATAAAGAAGCATTAACCTATATTTGTATTAAAAAAAAGTTGGGCGCCATTTGATTATCTTAAAGATTAATTAAAATTTTGAGTGTCCAGTAAAAATGGTAGCCGAATAAAAATATTTTTTTAACAGTTGTGCGCCACTACAGCGTTTTATTTGTAAAATAGATTTAATGCTATTTTAGATTATTATCATCATAAATAAACATTTTAGAAGCATTAATCTGTAAAAAAACGTTGGGCGCCACTTGATTTTCTTAAAGATTTAGCTCCAATTAAACATTAAATGCTAAGATGCTTTTGGGTGTGCGAAACTCATGTAAGGTAATTAAAATAAAACCTCAATGGGATTAATCTTTCAATATAGCCAATAAAAACTTTGGGCGCCATTGATTGTTCTCTGATCAATATAGACAAACACATTTTATGAAGCCTTTGCTATATATTCGAATGCCATCTAAAACACTGTGGGCGCCACTTGAAGTGTGTTTATAAGTAGAAGACTACTTCTTTAGAAAGAATAATACTTTTATTACGACTTATTCCTAGTTTTGTTTAATGTTTTAAATAAGGATGCAAAATAAATACTTTAGTTGTAATTTTCAGAAAATTGCTTACAATTTTAAATTATTAAAAAAACATGGATCTGCATTATTTTTTAATCTCGTCATTAGTTTGTCTACAATATATTCTAGATATTGAGCTAAAATACTTAATACCAGAATGGCGCCCAACGTTTAAAAAATATTCTTCCATTTCCGTTTTTCTCCATTTTTCCACCGGTTATAAACATTGTAAAAATATATAAACTTCCTTTTTCGATTATGATTAGCTAATACCATTCCAGTATTTCTAGATATGATTTTCCTTTTCAATTTCCATTTCCTTGCTGGCACACAGTAGAGTTTGTATTATTGAATCATTTGACAAGTTACAGCAGAGCAGAAATGCCGCTTACAAATTGACAGATATTTTTTCAACTTTCAAGTGAATGTTGGCTGGAGTGTTATCGTTGTTTTGCTTTTTTGCTCGCGCTTTTCTTTCTAACCTGAATTTTATGACGCGATGCGTAAAACAGCATCATTGTAAGATGACAGAGTCAGAGCAGCAGCTGCGCTACTCTACGCTTTCATACAGACTGGGATTGGTTCG